AGCATGACTGTAAACCACTGATAACTACTCTCTGGGAATGGTTTTCCAACCAGTTATATGCGCCCTTGTAGTACCTCCATCTAAGTTGTATTTCCCTAGTTTGTTTATGAGAAGGTCATGCGAGATAGTATCAAGAGCTTTACTAAAGTCAAGATATACCATGTCTACCACTTCCTGCATCCACAAGGCTTGTTATCCTGTCAAAGAAAGCTATCAGGTTGATTTGACATGATTTGTTCTTAACAAATCCATGCTGACTATTATTTATTACCTTATTGTCTTCTAGATGTTTGCAAATTGATTGCTTTATTATTTGCTCCACTATCTTTTGGAGGAGTATCCCTGGCTCACTATCTCTCTGACCCATTTGTCTGTGGTTGATGAAAACTGTTCCTCTAGGATATAGGGAATCCTGCCCCCTAGCTTCAGCTCTGGGCGGATGTCTACAAGATCTTTGTTAAAATAAATTTGGGGGGAGGGGAAAGGGCTGAGGTCCCTCCAGATTATCCCCTGGACCTCTATTCCACTGTTTCCTTTAGGGAATCTGTTGTACCTTTAGGGAATCTGTCGTACCATTCTCTGTGAGGATGAGGCATGAAAGTAGCATCTCTGTCAGAAGGCTGGTCTATACTCTCTCCAGTGGGCACTTAGTGGGGCAGGGAGAGACGGTTTGGTTTTTTGCCACATTGTCAGCAGCAGCTCCTCCAGCTTTTCTCCAAAAAGAAGGAAACCAGTAAACTTGGCCAAGCATAGGATCTGCTTAGCGTGATTGTTCTTCTTCTAGGGTTTGAGCCATAGCTGGCAGCTGGCTACATGGCCTTGGGTAGAGAACCTGATTGCATCTGTTTAAACATTAGGTACAAATGCTATTGCTAAGGAGACTTTTGTTAAAGTGGATCCAAAGTCAGGGTGATCTCTGTCCTTGAGGCTTGGAGCCCTTCCAGCCAGGAAAGGAGCTGCTCTTGCAAAGCAGGTAGCTGCCAGGGACACTCAGAGGGTGGCCTCCATCTTTCTATCCTTGGGATCCTTAGGGTAGAACTCCCTTCTGAGGGAATAACCATATCCCTGGTGAGGGATGCTACGGTGGCGCCAAGCTTCTCAGCAATAGACCCCCTTTGGTTTCTGAATGTTTAGAGAACCTGAAGTCACTCTTGTCAATGTGCGTGCCCTGACCCAGCTTGTTCCATTCATCCCAAATCACTTTATTAAAGGAGGAGTGAAGGAGGAGGTCTCACAGCCTCAGGGGATGAATCTGAGGGGAGGAATTTACTCTGAGGCTTACTCTCAGGAGCCCACTCAGGCTGGATTTGAATTGTGGAAACAACATTGTTGCACAACAGCTTGAAATTTCTCAGGTGGGGGAAAAAAAAACTTTGCTGCATTCACACCCTTTTGGTTTGGATTCAGAACAAGACAGCTTACCTTCCTCAGTGGAGGAAGAGGAGGAGGAGGAGAGTCAGAGGACTCTGTCTCCTGGATTTTTGTGTGTGACTTTTCTTTCCCTTTTCGTAACCTTTTTAGGGTGCTCTGGGAGCATACATGGTCTGCTGCAGCTTTGGTAAGGCCTTTTACTGCTTGCCTTCCATAGGTTCTGCAGTACTCTTGACAGGTCTGTCTCAGTCTCCTTTCCTACTGGGTCCCATTCCTCCTGGGAGATGTCTGTGACCTACTGGTCGGCTTGAGAGGGAGCGGGGGGCTGATTAGAAGTCGTGCTTCTTTCCCGAGGGCTCTCAGGTCCCACTTTTAGACTTGGGGAGGGATTTGTGGCCCTCCAAGTCTCCCCTCTTTGTTCTGTTGGGGCCCCTGGGACTTGCCCCCTGAGTAGAGTGGTCAGAGAGGATCCTCCTCGCTTTCGGAGCCTCTTCCTGCTCTGCACCCAGGTTCCTAGTCCATTTGATTCCTGTTGGAGTTGTGGCTGCCTGGGTAGATGTAATGGGGTTTGCTCACCTCTCTGGCACCTCCTGCTGGAGGTCTTTGGAATTAGTGCTGCATGGTCGTGCACCCTTTTTGGGTGGTGCCTTGCTGCCATCACTCCCGCTCTAGGACCCACATCTCTTCAAGGACCACAGCATCCCCTTCAGCGACACAGCCCTCTGGTCGTGCCGCACACTGTGCTCCCCCTTTCCGGGGGACCTGAAATCCACTGTTCAGCCACTTCCCTTAGTGGCAACTGCAGCAAATTGTCTGGCCACTTACTCGTGGCCCAGCATCCTCTTTGTCCTTGCCTCAGGGCCTCAGCCTGTAAACCCCAGCAGCCAGGCAGGAGCTGTTTCTTGTTCCCCCAGTCCCTGCTCGCAGCACTGCTCTGTCCAGGGTGCTGGCAGTTCTCTCAGCACCTCCAGAGACACAGTCCTTCCTCCCTGGATCCCAGCAGAGAATTGCCCTCATCTGCCCTGCAGCTCGCTTTTTATATGCGCCTACTTGGCCATGACTGGCTGCTCCCTTCAGCCCTCCTCTGATAGGCTGTACAGGAGGCAGCCACCGTAGGGCTCTATTAACCCCTTAGAGCCCAGTGTGGGGCAGGAACCCCACCACAGTGGGTAAGGGACCCCATTTGCCTGTCTGCCTCCTCGCCTCAGGACCTAACAGAGTCAGGGAGGGAAGGGGAGGCTGGAAGCAGGCAGCCTCACCTACAGAGTACTGCTTGGATTATACCCTGTGCTTTCTTGGCTATTCTGCCATGCCTGCAAGGGGCAGAGGAGCTGGCAGGGAGATAGTGCAGCAGAGCTCAGAGACGGTTAAACCCCCAAGTGGTTAACTGACCCAGGAAGGAGAGGAATCTTGGAGAGGGAGAACGCTGCTCCCCACTGCCCAAAAACTGGGCAGAAACAGCTCAAATTGCAAAGTACAGGCAGGAGCAACAGAAACTGCCCCAGTCTGGTGCAGTGGAGGCAGAGAATCTGGCAGCAAGCAGAAGCAGAGGAGGTATGGCCAGAGCGGGTGGAGTTGATCTGCCTCCACGAAGCTGCAAGAGTGGAGAGCAGCCTGGATGCCCAGAATTGTGGGAGACACTGGGCTGCAGAAAGCACTCCAGACAAGCCGCTTAACCACTGACTTGTACAGTGTGTGTGTTAGTGGTGAAAGGACTATTTCTACCGTTAGGGTTACTATGGCAATGATTTCCACATACACTGGCATTTAAGTGGCAATCATGCAGCAGTTAACTTTGCTTGAAATAAGACCAGTTGAAATGGTAGATGTACTGCCTGTGCCCTGTGGGAGTACTTATATGGGTGGATATGAAGTATGTTACAGGCATGCGAGGCTACAGGGGAGCAGCCTGATAAATTTCTCTACTGTAAGCAAAGCCTGTCTTCAAATGGAGGCTCTTCCAAAGTTTTGCTCTGTCCTTGTGTCCCTTTCTTCTCCAGGTGCAGGAGAATGAAGCAAGACACTGCCAGATCTACGTATGTGTCATTTGAACCCCTTTCTTCTTTGGGACCAGAAAAATTAGTATCTGTATGATAGGAACTGGCACCAACAATGCAGTAGCATTAGGGGTTGCAACAATGTTGTAAGCGCTAGTGTAGATGGGCTCGGGCATTTTTATCACAATGCCACGAAAACCTTCCCTGAAAGGTGGTAAAAAAGTTCCCAATCCCAGTCTACAGTAGCAGCTTAGCATTAGTGCAGCAGCACTGTTACTGTAACACGTGTACTAAAGCATAGAGTGTAGTTGCACTCGGGTATTTTGAAGCTGTTTTTCAGCACCATTGCATCCGTTATCCATGGCGTAAGTTCTTGATCTACATTAGAACAGGCATTTTTATCCCGTGTCACAAGGGTAGCTATTTCCCTAGCGTAGACAAGGTCTTTGAAAGAGACAAGATGAGTCAGATAATCTCTTATTGGACCAACTTCTGGTGGTGAAAGAGAGAAGCTTTGAGGTTACACAGAGATCTTCTTCCTCCTGAGGAACAGCTCTGTCTAAGCTTGAAAGCTTGTCTCTCTCACCAAAAGAAGTTGGTCCAATAAGAGAGATTATCTTGTCCCCCTTGTGTCTCTAATGCTATGTCTACACAGCAACTAGACACCCTTGGCTGGCCCATGCCAGCCAACTCAGGCTTGCAGGGCACAGGCTTCGGGGCTGTTTCACTGCTGTGTGGACTGTGCTGTGTGGACTAGGACCCTGTGAGATGAGAGGGTCCCACAGCCCAAGCTCGAGCCCAAGCCCAGAAGTCTACACAGCAATGAAACATCTCCGCAGCCGGAGCCCTGCAATCCTGAGTCAGCTGGCATGAGCCAGCTGAGGGTGTCTAGTTGTTGTGTAGATATAGCCTAATATTCTGAGACCAACACAGCTACAACACAGCATATAAGGTCTCTTGAAAGCACTTTCGCTTCAAACCCTCCAGCAACGTCAGATGAATAGACCTTAACAATTCTGCAGAGTATTTTCATGGTTCTCCTAACTGGGAAAAGTCATATCCCATTAACATTTGGAGAAAAGCTGGAGAAACTGCTAGCAGATGTGGCAGAAACCAATGTGGCAGAAACCAAACCGTGACAGGAATTTTCCTAACTACTCATATGACATAAGACCTAAAAGCTCTTCATTAGCCAGACATATTCACAATTATAAACACATAAGTAAAAAAGTCATTGGTACAATATATGTCGATTGCAGCTGTTAAGGTTCCTCCCCCACTCTGAACTATAGGGTACAGATGTGGGGACCTGCATGAAAACCTCCTAAGCTTACTTTTACCAGCTTAGGTTAAAACTTCCCCAAGGTACAAATTAATTTTATCCTTTGTCCTTGGAATAACCGCTGCCACCACCAAACTCTAACTGGGTTTACTAGGAAACGTAGTTTGGACACGTCTTTCCCCCCCAAATCCTCCCAACCCTTGCACCCCACTTCCTGGGAAATGTTTGGTAAAAATCCTCACCAATTTGCATAGGTGACCACAGACCCAAACCCTTGGATCTAAGAACAATGAAAAAGCATTCAGTTTTCTTACAAGAAGACTTTTAATAGAAATAGAAGTAAATAGGAGTAAAGGAATCACCCCTGTAAAATCAGGATGGTAGATACCTTACAGGGTAATTAGATTCAAAACATAGAGAATCCCTCTAGGCAAAACCTTAAGTTACAAAAAAGACACACAGACAGAAATAGTCATTCTATTCAGCACAATTCTTTTCTCAGCCATTTAAAGAAATCATAATCTAACACATAACTAGCTAGATTACTTACTAAAAGTTCTAAGACTCCATTCCTGTTCTATCCCCAGCAAAAGCAGCATACCAACAGACACACAGACCCTTTGTTTCTCTCCCTCCTCACAGCTTTTGAAAGTATCTTGTCTCCTCATTGGTCATTTTGGTCAAGTGCCAGCAAGGTTACCTTTAGCTTCTTAACCCTTTACAGGTGAGAGGAATTTTCCTCTGGCCAGGAGGGATTTTAACGGGGTTCACCCTTCCCTTTATATTTATGACAGCAGCCAAGAATAGACAGATTATTTATTGCCTGTCATGGATTGTATCACAAAATTTCATAAACTCGCTCAGAATTTAAATTAGACTCATAAAGCTAGTCCCTGGAAAATAAAGACACACTAATTTAGCATTTCAGCTGAATGGAATAAACAAACACTTTTTTATTTTTCAAAATGATAGCAAATCTGTTTTTAAAAGGGAGAAAGTTTCTAAGGATCTGAGGGTTGCAAATGGTGATTCCAATGAAATTCTTCCTTATCCCCATAAGGCCTTTAAGAAGTAGCTTCTTTATGGAGTTATACAATCCTCTACACTTTTTGGATTGGTGTGAATAGGAGTTTTATAGACTGTAGAGGAGGTAAAATATTTGGGAAGGAAACAAGGGGAACTTCAACACCCATTGGGATTGTCCTACACTAATGCTAATAAGAATACAAGGGCATTTAACTCCTTAACACCAGCAGAATTGGCATCTTCTACTATCAGTTTGTCTAGGTATTTATACTATGCTCCTCACCATGGCTGAAGTTTGAATGAGCATGTATCAGTGTAAATTTGATTCCTGACCCCAAAGAGTTAATCAAATTTGACAGCAATTTATACTGAATTTACAGGTGAGCTGAATGATTAATTATGTTGTGGCTGCTCTCCAAAATCTTGGTGCACTCTTGTTCTCTCACAACTTCATACATCAGCAATAGCCTAGCACACTTAGATAAGCACTAACATAACATACTTTGTGATGTACCTGTTTTATGCCCCCTCCCCCTTCTTCAATGGGTTTGAGAGGTCATTAGAGTTAGTGAATAGATATGGGCTGATGTTTTTTCCAGAATGCTGACAACAGCCAGCATGGCGGGCCAGGCTCATGGCCACACTGGTGCAAACTGGCCACATAACCAGCCAGTTTGGGCAGGGGAGAAATCCTCTTAAGTAGGGGAACCCTCTGGCTTTGCAGGCCCAGACAGCCTGCAAACTGGCCAAGATACTGTCCAGAGGTGAGTGGCAAAGATGCTAGTAAGGTTTTATTCTGGCACCAAGTGTAGCAGATATGGCCAGGCAAGAAGCAGGTGGGGCTAAAATGTCATTTTAGCCTACAGGTCCCCTGGAGTGGCTCCTCTCTCTTACACCAGGTTGTTGCCTGTTGGTCCCAGAATTTGGAATCTGCAAAGATGGCTTAATACCACCTTTGCCTCTTCACTGCTGGCCAGTATCTTGACCAATTTGCAGGCTGCCTGGGCCTCTCTCTCCAGCTGATCTGGACTGGAAAATGCAAGTGGGTATCTTTCAGTGATGGGGTGAGACTGGGGCAGAAATGAGAGCAGGCTGGTGTGGGGGTGATTATGGTGGATTGGGAGAAGCTACCAGAGAATATGGCTGATTACAGGACCCCCCAGCCCCCATGGGTGAGAGTGTTTGGCCATCATTTGTTACCAAAGCTTGCAACACAGAGATCTGCTTAGATTCATGCAGCACAGTCTACATACTTTAACAGGCATTTGGTTGTGTGGGGTTTCTGTTGCAAATCTGAAGAAGAGTTTGTTCAGTTTTCTGGGTGTCTGGCTGTTTTATGTTGTCTGGGATTTGCTTTTGTTGCATTGTGTTTTATTGCTCTGGATTGTAATTTTAAAGGGAGACTGATATTGGTGTGTATTATTTACACTGAAAATAAATAAATATTGATTCTTTTAAGTAGTGGGGGTGTAGAATTGTGGAAGACTAAGTGAACTGACCCATGTTACCTTCATCGTATTTGCCATTTTCCTGTTAAAATTTCCTCCTTTGAAATACAAGTGAAGAGGCCAGATGTATACAGTGGGAGGTTTTCCAGATTCATTTTTTAAGAAGTGAGGTGCAGCCACAGAGCCGTGTCCTTTCCCCACAGATAAGATCAGCATCATCACTGAACGCATACTCCAACCATAGACTAAAATACACTAAATAGAAAGAGCTGGTTGTTCTGGCCGCAGCAACTTCTAATCCCACAATATTTTAAAGAATGGTCTGATACTTGACACCTCCAGGCCTTTTATTTCAAAACAACTGTTCCAGCAATACAGACTTGATTGAATTTGGCTGGCTATTGCCACACACAGGAATGCACTGACGAACAATGTTAAGCAACATGCCAAGAACGATATACGTACAATCATCTTCCTGTACGTCATATGTAACGCTGACACCTGTCTCTAAGATGGCAAAATGATGGGACCACATGCCTAATGGTTGTGGCAGCTCATATGTACTGTCGGTTGACCGAAGTAGAACCCTTTTCTAAACCTTTAATGTCCAATTGTGCATGTCTCCTCAAATGTTTTGCCCAGCTCTATTAAAACAAGTTCAAAGTTATCAGATTGGAAGCAGATTGAGCAGTGAAGCATTTTGGCCTCTACTCTACATTATCTGTGTTGATATGACTATGAGATCCCATTAACTAGGTACAGATGTTATATAGTTCATACATTACGTGGCCTTAAAATAAACTAAGTTTGGCAATCCCCTCCATGTAATATTTGAATGAATTTCCACATTATAGGCTTCAACTTTACCGTAAACTGACTTAACAATTGGTTCCAGTGTAAAAACAAAACCAGACAAAGAGACACATTTGATTCCAGTTTGGATAACAGGGAAATACTGTGAGAACAGCCACTGATTTCTCTATAACCAGAAGTGAAAAGTCACGTTCCTGCACATGTCATGGTGGTGCCAGCAGAAACTCACCAGCCCCTCCCCGTATGTCTACAGAGGCTCAATGGCCCGTAGTGGGAGTAGCTCTTCCTGGTAGCTGCTGAGAAAAGCTGATTGGTGATGAGGATGAATGGGGAAGAGTGGCCGCATGTATTTTGGTGAGGTTGAGAGCAAAGTTTATGTGTTTTTGTATATTTTGTTTCCCTCAGACCTAGAAGCAGGGAAACAAAAGGGCAAAGGAGATTATAATTATTTTTAAATTTTGTCTGTCACAAGTAAGTAGTGGCATCTGAAAGTATGAAATATTCCAAGCTCCTGTAGGGTGAAAATACTAAATCAAAACCAAAGGTGGTTTTGATTTTGTCCTTGGCAAACCAAAAGGTGAGTTTGCCAGAAGCAAACCCAAAACAGGGCTGACCGAGTCTGTCTGTCTCTCTAATAAGTAGATGACATATGTTCCTCAACTGTTGTTTAAGCATGATGGTTGACTATATTAAGGGAAAAACACTCTGAGAATAAAATATTATAACAGCTGTGTAAACCACTATGACTATAGATGGATCAACATTTCTAAAACTCCATTTAAAAAGCTGAAAAAAATGCTTAAATTTAACTTCGTATGGTGAACCCCCGCCCCCGTTTTTTGTTAAATAGCTATTTACATAGTTGACATTAATCAGCTCCAAAAAGGAGCAATCATAGTCATTGGGCCAATAATAATTATTTTTAAGTCTTTTTGAAATAGCCTTAATGGTTTCAAAAGAACCAGTAAGTTCTGTTAGGTCAATAATACAGGTTTTAACAATACATTTTTAAACAAACAGTTTGTGATCTATTTTGTCAATATATATTTCCATGAAAGGCTTGTAATCATTAATATAAAAGCAGTTTAAAACAAACCAACATGCCCCAAAGGATCTTACCAATAGGATTAAGTAAACTAAAGCTGTGACACAAGAAAAAAATAAATGTCTGTTCTCTGTTTTTTTATTATGTGCCTATGTTTTGAACCTGCAGACATCTCAGTAATGAGATGCACTCATCCTTAATATCACTTAGCTGTGGGTTGTGTGCGTATTTATAAAAATAGATTAGTTGTAACATTAATGTTAATGAGAAACTTGCTCATTTACAAGTGCATAGTAATGTCCTTCCTTTGCCAGCAACTGGCTGTGAGTCCCTTGTTCCACTACTTTTCCATTATGAATCACTGCTATGACATCAGCGTTCTGGACAGTCGTCAAGCGGTGAGCAATAATAATGCAGGTTCGACCCTTCCTGGCATTGTCCAAGGCTTTCTGGACAATCTGCAGACAGATGCAGTGAAAAAACTTGTTATTTCCTGGAGAATCTTCCCTTTCACAGGTTACACCTTTGCCTTTATAGTTCATGTTAGAACTTGGGTGTTCCTCACTGGGGTTTAGGAGTCAGTACTTCCGATGCATGAAGGAGGCCTCAAACACAGGGGCCTGATATTACAACCTTTATTTGTGTGAGTAATTCCACTGAAGTCACTGAGACTACTCTCATGAACAAGGGCTAGCAGAATGAGGTCCATAAGGAACTAGTTTGGACCAACATAAAACTTAGATTTACCATGCAACACAACTAATTTGCAGAGGTGTAATGAACTGTCTGTGATATTGGCTGCTTACCAAATGTGTGTGTTATATTTGACATTGCATGCTGTCTGTTAGTTTCTCTAAATTCGGCATGTAGTTGGAAACAACCTCTGTCCTCCCCCGGATATGCACTTGTCAGTCAGACATGCACAGTACTGAGATCATTTTGCAGAAAGCAGACCAGCCAAATACACAGACATGAATAAAACTTGCACGTTCACCGATAGCACCAGCAATGCCAGACACTTCTTGTTGCCCATAAAAATCCAAAATTCAGGATCCCGACATCTGCCTCACAACTGGATGGTATTTTGCATGGTTGCATTTTTCACTTCTACTGCATCCCTATCCAAATGAACAGTTTATTTGTCCCTGTGGAGTCTCCCTCCTCTCCTGGAGATGGTGGATGCAGTGAGGAAGCTCAGCCAGCTGAGCAGCAGAGGATAGCTTAATTACTCTCTCTTCACTGCACAGCATCTCCTGAGCGGTAGGAGGTGTTGCTGAAACCTTTTTTCCAAGCCAGCTGCTCCTGCATGTCACCTCTTACCCGCTGAATGCAGGTGGATCAAAGGACTGGGACGACGACAGAGGCAGGACAACATTAAACTTCATTGTTCCATTCTGTTCTGACAGCCAGCAATTCTACTGGCAGAGTGGATCCCTCTCGGTCTCTGTAGCAACACCTGTTCACCCAGACAGAGCAGGAAATAGTGCAGAAAGAGACCCCCGTTGCTGCTAGTGCTGCTGGCTGAAGGGAAGAGGAAGGAACTGGTGATTTGCCTTACAAGGCCTCCTCTAGAAGATCACAGTCTATTGTTTGAAGCCACCTGTCTCACAGACTCAGAGTTGCTAATTATGAATGGGATTTTCCAAAGTGCTCAGCATTGGCCTAACTGTGAACGCATTAGAAGTCCCATTGACTTCATAACTGACTTTAACGGAACTGAGGCAGGCCACAATTGAGCAGTTCTGAAAATCCCACTTTGTCTCCAGTCCCAAGTGTTGCTGAACACCATCAACTCCCAATTTAGACACCAGGAGCTGAGGGCACTCTACAAAAAGCAGGCCATAGACAGAGAGCGAGCCAAGGATTGTTGTGTGGAACTTCCAAAATTGTATTGTAGACGGAGCGTCTGTGTTCATGCATTGAAGCTTTCGAACCCCATAATTTTGTGTGTATTACAAATGGTATAATGCATATTACTAACCTTTTCACTTTCCGTGTCAAGAGCAGATGTGGCTTCATCTAGAAGCAGAACTGCTGGGTTACGAACTAGAGCACGAGCAATTGCTATTCTTTGTTTCTGACCTCCAGAAAGTTGTGCTCCTTTGTCACCCACTTGGGTATTATACTTCTGTATAAGTAAGTATTCGTTATGAAGGAAAGTTAGAAACAGGAAGTTACATTCTCTGCTATTAAAAATATACTATATTAAGCATTTCCACCTTGAAAGAAAAAAGAATAATGTAATTGTTTTTAATAATTAAAATTTTATAAGATTTTAGTAACTGTTTGAATCAAAATGCATCTCTACAGTTATACATATTGATAACTGCTCTGTAATGAAAATTCATCGCAGCATTAGAAAAAGACTAACTCCCAAGTGATGCAACCACTGATGTGTCTAGTCAAACACACCTGTATTTATACATATAGATCTCAAGAGACATTTATAATTTCAAGGCCCTAAAGACCCACACTCAGGAGGTGATCCTTTATTTCTTACACATCCAAAACTTTCTTCCATGTACATTTTCAAAAACTAGGTGGTAATGAAAAATAAATATTGTTTTTTTAAATTTTCAATTGTCATTTTCAATTCTATGTAACTTTACAGTACGCCTGATTTCTTTGGGCTTTTCCAAGGTCTTTCTCCACTTTGAGAACTAAGTCCATGGCAAACATGAAGGTTAAGATGTACTTGAAACATTTTACCTTTCAGATAAGACTAAAACTAGAGAAAGTTTCAGCCAAAAACGGAAAAAGAATTGGCAAAGTTTATGAGGAAATGAAAATAAAGGTTTAGAATCAAATGTCTCTTTTATAGTTGTTATATAACATCACTGTGATAGAGGAAAACAAGAAAACTGGAGCTCGGATTTTGCATTTGAATTAGCTAATTATGACTGTGAATGTGTTAAAACATATTGCAAGTTACATTTTTAAACATCAGCTTCCTATTTTCCTCTCTGAGAATTGACACACAAGAAAATAAGCTTTTTTTAAAAAACAAAAAAGCATATTGTTTTGCATTAATGGGAGTTGCTTAGATAGGTCCCAGTGAATATTTACCCCACACTGAGAATGGAAAGACATTTTCATTTACCTCTGGAAGATTTTCTATGAAGGTGTGAATATTTGCTGCTTTAGCTGCCTCTTCAATCTCCTCCTGACTAACAACCCTACTGTTGTCTCCGTACTGGATATTTTCAGCAATGCTGCAGTCAAACAAAATAGGCTGCTGTGACACAATACCCAATTTGGACCTTAACCAATGCAAATGCAAAGACTTGATATCGAATCCATCTGCAAACTAGAAACAGAAAAAGGGAAAAATAATTCCCTGCAGAATGCAATACTCCTCCTCAGGCATACAATGTAAATGTGAAACACGAATCTGTAAAAATCCTCTGACCTGTGTTAGAGTTACAGTAAAAGTAAGGTGGTTGGTGAACCACTTCTGATTTAATAATAGATGACCAGATCTTTCATCCAAAATTGAACTGAACCAAAAAAAAAACTCTTCGAAAATTCAAGAGAAGCTCAGATAACCTTTTCCTCTGAGAATTATTTTTTGTGCATGTCTAGCTCTGCTAGCTTCTGTAATAGATGTGGAATTGCCAATCTATAACGAGATGTGCCCACAGAATTTCCATCTTTACTGATGATGGCAGGTACCAGGGATCTCATGAGAAAGTCTGTTCATGAGCTTCTTAGATCTAGATGGTTGAAGAGCTCCGATAAGAATCCAAATCTTTGGGCATTTATTCAAACATCCTTTGACTCACCCATCTCTAGGCTATTCTTTTTGGAGCTCCCATCATCATTAATAGGCCTTGCATCGAAAGTCTCACCAAGTGATGAATTAGACGTCAAACTGTGTCACGCTAACATGAGTACAGGACTAGTGACAAGGGTTACATTATGGGAAGTATATTCTAATGCCCCCTACAATATATCAAGTAAATCAACAAAGAGATGCAATCTAGTGATCTAAAGTCAGGATGGGGAGTCAGAAGATCCAGAGTTCTATTCCCGGTTCTACCTTAAGCAAGTCCCAAGTCTTCTCTGCAGAACCGGGACCTGTGACACTTATCCACCTCAAGAGGGCAGTTGTGCGGATGTTTTAATGTTTGTGAAATAGTTTGAAGAACAGTTCTATAAGCTCTAAGTGTTAATAGCTGCACAAATCTCTTCTTACCACTTGTCCTGCCATAGGGTCATAAAATCTCTCCAGTAGCTGAATGGATGTGCTTTTGCCACAACCACTGCTCCCCACCAAGGCTAGCGTCTGTCCTTTATTAACCTTCAGGCTGAATCCTTGCAAAACTTGAGCTTCTGGTCTTGTAGGGTATACAAAATGGATATCCCTGAATTCAATGTTGCCATCAAACTGACTCTGGAAACGGTAGAAAATACAAATGTATGACAGAAGACTGTCTATCTTGTACAGAAGCATCAAATACAACTCAGTATGGTCATTTAAATGAAGGTGTTGACAAGTCAATTGGAAATGGTATGGCATTTTCAAACCCAGAGCATTTTTATCAGTTTATTATTGCTTAAATATGCAATGACATTGGGTTGGTATCTTCTGTTTACAGGACCTCCTTCTTGAGGGGTTCTTTTCCGCATCTCTTTCTCATTTCTATCATTCCTTTTCAGCCTGGTTCACGAGAGCTATCATTACTTTAGGTAAGTAAACAACCCTAATACCTCTCTTTTATGTCAGCAATGCATATAATCCAGACACTATCATTGTGTGTGGAAAACATAGTTCCTGCCCTTGGGAGTTCACTCTCTAAATAATGTAATTTAAACACACAGTACACAGGATGAACATAGTACAAGGTGAACATCAGATCTCAGATTGGGTTAAACATTTTTACTTTGATGGATTATTCATAGTTTTCAAGGACAACTATGTTTTAAGTGGTGGTTTGAATAAGGAAAGGGTAGTTGATTGGCTCTTTTATGTAGGAAGGGAGCTCTGAGTATAAGAGGTAGCAAGGAAGAAGACTTGAAGACAATGGTGAATGAAGGAGGAGATGTTAGGAGAGACTGTGGGAGCCTCGTCTGATGCCTTGGGGGTGGCACAGCTCCAGGACCACAATACCAGCACTGTAAGTACAATGGACTGTCACAGCACCTAGACAAGTGGACTTTCAAGGTTTAAACTCTTTGGGCCAAATCTTAGCTTCACTGAAGTCAAAGGCAGCTGCTTCACTGGCATCAAGATTTGGCCTAGAGTGGTTGCACTTTCAATTAACGTCTTTATTTGCAAGAAGATATTTCCCCTGGACCACTAGTTGTCTGGGCAGGTGGAGCTGACTCAGGAAAGTAGTCAAGCATGTGTGACTTAAAGTTGTGCACATGAGTTACTGGCATGCTTACAGTATGTGCCCGAGTCCTTTTCTGAATCAAGGCCACTATCCAAAAGCTAGAATTCGAAAGCAATTTCAAGTTTCTGAAAGGCTGGTTCTGCCTGTAAAAGCATTTATGGTCTCTCAGTGCTTTCCGTATGAAATGTGTTCAGTTTATAAATACAAAGATGAGTTTCTGTCAACTCTGGGCTTTGAGAGACAAGCTGAGTTCTTTCCATCTCACATATAATCACCAGGAACGAAAGGTTCTGCAGGCCAAGTTACGTCCTCAGTAATACTTGTGCAACCCCTTTGACTTAAATGAGGTTACACAAAAGTTGTATGCAGTGTTGTTTAGCCGTGTTGGTCCCAGGTTATTAGAGAGTCAACGTGGGTGAAGTAATCGCTTTTATGGGACCAACTTGTGTTGGTGAGAGAGACAAGCTTTCACAGAACTGAAGAAGAGCTCTGTCCAAGCTCAACAGCTTGTCTCTCTCACCGACATAATTTGGTCCAAGGAAAGATATTAACACACCCACCTTGACTCTCTTTTACACAGATGTAACTGACTGGAACTTAGCAAACAAGTCTGCGGACGATGCACAAGAAGGAACAGAATCTAACTCACTCTCCGACTCAGCTGCATAGTAGACAGGAGTAAAAAGCAGTGAAAACATACTTGTATTGCTCAAGCAGAGCAGACAGAACTCTGGGCTTGTCTTCACTCCTGGGGAGACTGACACTGCTGCAATTGATTCAGTGGGTGTCGATGGCAGAGCGCTCTCTGATCGACTCCGGTACTCCACCGGAACAAGAAGAGTAAGGTGAGTCAATGGGAGAGCGTCTCCCATCAATGCAGAACAGTGAAGACACCGCGGTAAGTTAAGCTAAGTTACATTGAACCCAGTTACATTATTCACGTAGCTAGAGTAGCGTAACTTAGGTCGACTTACCCCGGTACTGTAGACAAGGCCTCAGAATAGCCCCAACGGAGAGAACAGGTGAATGAAATGTCATTCTTCCAGTCACTTTTCAGACTAGAACTGCACTTAAAAGTATTCTGTTAATTTCTCAAGCAAAAAGGTATTAAATGGCACTGAGCAAATATAAAATTAAGTTATTGCTATTAAATTTTACCTTACCTGTCTGGTCCTGTCTTCTGTGACATCGCAAAAGGCAATTTAACAAGATTAATACAATTAAGGACAATACAGTACCACCAGGTTTGTTAGTTTCAAGGACTTTCTAAATGGCCTTACCAGTTTTGTCCCCTCTTCACTATAGCTGTCAATTAAGGGTTTCTGATCCAAAAGCTGAAAGATTTGTTGGGCAGAAACTTTAGCTTTGCCAAAATCTGGTGCCAAAGAAATGGACTGCCCAACATTCAAAGCAGCATATAGAATTGAAAAAAAGGCTCTGAAAACCAAAACACAAAACATCTTTCAGTTCATCTAAAGAGATACTTTTTTATTATTGTTCATAAATTACGAATGTTGTTTTTGTTATTTAAAACAAACAGACTTAACACTATCTCTAAATCCAAGAACTTTATGGCTTAGAAAAATTACACACACAGGATTAGAAACAGATTACAGCTACAAATATTTTTTTAATGGGTGGCTAATGGTATGTAATTTCTCCACGCAGAGGCATTTCACAAAGCCCATTGTCTGCAATGAAGTGTCAGCAGTAAAAGTTTCTCCATAGTAAATAAACTGAGCCTGGCTCTATACATGCCAACACAACTGCTCCCATGCTTCCTCTCCAAGAAATAACCCTTCTGCCTGAATTGAACTCCTGACCAGATTCTAAACTGTAGGACCTTTTGCACCATTGCCTCAGTAATTAGACTTATATACAATTAACATGTGTTGAAATCACTGTCTTTGGACTCATGTGTACTCACATAAATACATTTTCAAAGTTTGTATAACAATTAGCAATGAGCCAGGCGGCGAACCTGAAGACTGCTGCATCAAGAAAGTAGAGTGTACACTGGGCTATTCCATAGGTAAATCCATATATGGGGGCTTTTGTTAGAGAGTCCCTGATAAAAGAAAAGATTTATGTTAAAGGAAAAAATGGTCAAGAAATGCCAAGAGCAGAGACCGGCTGGGAGAAGGTCAGACCTTTGGATTAGGGGTGGCAAACCCTATACCTCACTCACTCAAATAATAATGAATAAAGCTGCATGCTAGGGGCTCCATGAAGGTGCCTCTGGAGAGAGCTTATGGCAAATGAGATCTCTTCATTACAACTAGCTGTTTGTTGGATAGGACCTTAGGATAAAATTACCTTTAATAGGCAAAAACTTTTAACACTTGAATGTTGGTTTTCAGAAGAAATGTTTATGGATGGCCAAAGCAATCTGACACAAAGCAAACTGATAATTTCGATAAGTCTCTTATGATCTTTGAATGCTTGAATTTTTGGACAATTTGGATAAATGAAGTGGTCACCATAGAAAAGTCAATGTTTACAACACAGCATAACTGAAGCACTGCAGATATTGCCTGTTCTGAGTACGGGGGAGGAGGGGGGGACAGGGAGGAAGGGGAGTAGCAATTCAGACCCCACTGTGCAGTGGTGACCAATGTTGTTATGTGGGATGGTAAAACTGGTTTACCTTAATTACGTGCAGACCTTGCTGTGACAAAGAAACTGGTACTAGTTCTGACAATGCAATTTCTGCACATTTGAAATTTTCCATTCGGAAAAAAAGAACAAAATATTTTATTCTGGGTTGGTTTGACCTGAATTGAAATACTTCTGCTTTGCACCCATAGCCATGTGACTCCGATAAAGCATTATGCCACTCAGTCAGAGGGGAGACCACACTGCATCATGGGAGATGTAGTCCAAGCAGGGAGCCTGGCCCATAAGAGAGACAATGTTCCAAAACAGGGAAATGTAGTTTGATGTTGAACTAGATAGAAACAAAAAGTTTCAGGTCAGTTTAAGAAAAGAAAAAAAAAATTAAATATTTCAATTATTTGGGAATATAAAAATATTTTGTTTGGAGAGAAAATGCAAAAATGGAATGGATTTGCCATTTCTAAATTCATAGAATCTCAGGGTGGAAGGAACCTCAGGAAATCATCTAGTCCAGGGGTCTCAAACGTGCGGCCTGCACGCAGCCTGTGGGGTTATTTTCTGCGGCCCGCCAGCTCCCCGTGGCACCCTGCCCCCCTAGCATTTACTGAGAGCGGGTCCGGCCTGCCGTGCACCGGGGGCAAGGGCAGGCTCCCTGCCTGCCTGCCCTGCCCCCGCACTGCTCCAGGACCTTGGGCGGGGAAGGGAGGGAAGGGAGGACGGTGCACAGGGGTCTGTGTATTGCCCTGGCCGCGCCTCCAGGTACCTCCCTTGAAGCTCCCATTGGCTGCGGTTCCCCGATCCCAACCAGTGGGAGCTTCGGGGGAGGTACCTGGAGGAGCGGCCAGGGCAACACACAGACCCTTGTGCACCCGCCAGGTCCCGGCTGCTTCCTGGAGCAGAGCGGTGCAGGGGCAGGGCAGGGCAGGCAGGCTTCCCTGCCGGACCCACCCCCCGAATCCCTTGCCCTGAGACCCCTGCTGCACCCTGCACCCCTACTGCACCCCAACCCCCTGCCCTGAGCCCCCGCTGCACCCTGCACCTCTCCTGCACCCCCTGGGGGCGAGGGGGGGGGGGGGAGTTGAGGTGGGGCAGGGAAGGGGCAGACCCAGGGCAGCAGGGGAGGGGGCTGTTCAGTGGTGCAGCCCTCAGCCCAATGTAGTAGCTCTCATGTGGCCCTCGTAGTCATCTGAGTTTGAGATCCCTGATCTAGTCCAACCCCCTGCTCAAAGCAGGACCGATCCCCAATTTTTGCCCCAGATCCCTAAATGGCCCCCTCAAGGATTGAACTCACAACCCTGGGTTTAGCAGGCCAATGCTCAAACCACTGAGCTATTCCTCCCCCAAATTGACATTTTTCTAAAAAGTTTTCTTTCCGAGAAAAAATTTGATATATTTTCACTTTTTGTCCCAATTCAGAGCAAAACAGAGTTTGAAATACTAGAATTTCCCACAGGATGGAAATTCAGATTTTCACTTATCTCTAGTGCTCATATATTTTTAAAATGTTTTCCAAAATAGTTTCTCCATAAATCATAATATTGTAATACAATGACCTGCCAGGACCAGAGACAAGCGCTAAAGCTGAGAATCCCATTTCTCCAATGAAATATAGATTTTTTTCTCATACTGATGGTTTATAGAATATTGAATCATAAAACTGTCATTGGCAGGGGACTATCATTTTCAATCCCTGCTTTTACTTAAAACATACTGTATTTAAGAGGAAAGAAACAAAATGGATGGTAGATCATTTCATTTAAATAAAATGGAGGCTATGAAAATGTCTGACATATTTGGATATTAAAAATTAGCCCCTATAGTGATTAGCTTGTAGAATGTGACCGAAAAGGCCAAAGGGGAAAAATAAATGCACCTTATTTCAAGATCTGCAAGTCCATACTTGCAGTGGAAGTTGAAATACATGGTGACGTTATGTAGTATAAAGTCTTTGCCACTTGACCTATGCAAGTCATTCTGCTGCAATACTTGTGAAGCAAGTAAACCTCCCATATGCATGTTAATTAAAACTTTATACCAGGTCATTACATTCTCTCTCTCTCTCTCTCTCCTCTCTCTTATATATACAAATTTTACATCACACACACACATAACATCTAAGAAGGTATTTTAAAGAAACCGAGTAAATACATTTTAACCCTTTTTAAAAGGTTGCCAAAATCCTTTCAAATCATTTATGTGTTTAATATTTTCAGTCTGCAAATGAATGTAATATGAATAAATCTTGAGTTGTTTTAAGTTAAGAAAACATGTATTCATTGCTTTTAAAAAACAGAATTGTTTGAAAGCAAATCTTACCTGTATGGACCATTCAAACTTGCACTATATCTCTCACAGAATGCATCTTCACTAGTTAATGAAGCCACAGTTCTTATATTTTCAACTGCTTCTATTGAAATCTAAAATCAGGAGACAAGACAGATATGAAGTATTCTCTTATGTTTGAGTCTACTCCTATCACTATGTAGTTAGCACATCTGTAATACTTTTCATCTTTTGCTCTCCAAGTGTTTTTCTTTTTAAAAAAAGAAAAACAAGTATCACCCTCAGGGAAACTGAGGCACAACAATTAAATGATTTGCCTAAGGTCACACAGAGGTCTTTCTACTAAGCCAACATGGCTGATATGTGATTCCTAAGTACTCCTCCCACCACCTGTACATTTTGTTGTGCAGCAGCATTAGCTGGCACTATAGAAGCCATTAAAAGGTAAGAAGTTGCTCCTTGCTCTCTGAGTACACGTATTCCAGGCAGCAGCTCACTGGAGGGCTGCATGCTACCTTGATTATGCAGCCTGAGCTGTACATTGAGCTGGGTGAGCCCCACACTCCTACTACCCACTCCCAGTGGGGACTCCTGCTCCTGCCAGGCTTTCCCAGCCATATGCCAGGCCCACCCAGTCCGCCCCTCCTTGGCCAGCACTCCCACAAGGGTTACGTGTATCTTAACTTTTCATTTTCTAGATTTCAGATGTTTAAATTTGCATGTTCTTTAGCCCCCCCCCCCGATCCTGTCTTCATTTGGGGGCAAGGTGAGAGGCTCAGACACTTCAGGAAGAGCAGGGTCCCTAGATCCCAGCTCACATGGAGGAGCAGGGCTCCCCCAGATCCAAGCATATACACAGAAGGGGAGAATTCAGGGCTCTCAGTCCACCCCCAAATCACCAGCTTCCTCTGCCACCCCTCACACTCCTCTAATCCTCTCCCTTCCCCTTATTTGAGCCCCCAACCCTTCTTCCTTCCCCTGCCACCCATCCTCATTTATCCCTCCTCACCATGTGCCAGGTTCCTCCTTTCCCCGGGGTTGCTCAAACCCCCACTCAGCTCCAGGCCCTGCCCCCCACTCCACCCCTTCCTGCCTCTGCTCAAGGCCCCCCTCCCCCAAGGCCCCACTCCCATCTTCCCACCCCCTGCTGCGCTTCTTCCTACCCTATTCTGCCCCCGCCCCCCAGTGCACCTCATCTCCGCTGCTTCCCCTTTACCCCCAGCACCTCCTGCACACTGCGGAACAGCAGATCGTGGTGGACAGGAAGCGCTGAGAGGGAGGGGGAAGGAGTTGATTGGCGGGGCCACTGGTGGGCGGGAGGGGGGGAGGCTGCCAGTGGGTGCTAAGCAACCACTAATTTTTTTCACCTACAGAGTCGGCGCCTATTCCCCCATCCCTTGCTCCAGACCCCAAACAGCTCCCTTCTTCCCACTTAACTCTTGCACTGCAAATCACCCCTTGTAATTAATTTTCTTTTCAAACATAATTAAGAAGGCTCTCGAACTATCTGTTGTGCTCAGATTCCATTTCTCCAAATTAAAACAAAACAAGAGTTTACATTTCATTCTCAGATTTCTGCTCAAGGTGGGCTTAGAACTTCAAAGCTTCTAGAATCTGTGAACATTTTTTCCCCCCTGGAGGCTGTGGGGAACTCCTTACTCAAATGACCCCACCTTCTGATCACTCACCCTACCCTATGCTTTCATGACACATAGCAAATTCCAAGACAATCTGTGTAAACACACAGATTTTAGCATACTTAGTAGTCATCCTTTAAACAGGAAGGGCTTCCCCACCTTAGCTAGAGCAGAGCTGGTGCACAGTTATAACACTGTATAAAATTAGAAGACCAATGGAGCAGAGGTGCTCCACACATCCATCAGCATCATAACAGTCTCAGAGAGGTGTGAAGTGGCTCATTCATCTCAATGAGATGTTCTCAGCTGAAAGTGAACACCCAGCCTGAATCCAGCCAGAATCTAACTCTGAGTAAGGTGACCAGATAGCAAGTGTGAAAAATCGGGATGGGGGTAGGGAGTAATAGGCACCTATATAAGACAAAGCCCCGAATATCCAGACAGTCCCTATAAAATTGAGACACCTAGTAACCTAGCTCTGAGAGGCATAGGCGCCGACTCTGTGGGTGCTCCGGGGCTGGAGCACCCCCCCGGGAAAAATTGGTAGGTGCCCTGCCCCCCCGCCGCAGCTCACCTCCGCCTCCTCCCCTGAGCGCACTGCAGCTCTGCTTCTCCCCCAGCTCCCAGCGCTTGCCGCCACGAAACAGCTGTTGTTGAGCACCCACCGGTGCCAGGAAAAGTTGGTGCCTATGCTGAGACATATGAACTGCTCCATTCATGCCAGTGGATTTTTCCATTCCCCCTCCCCATAGTTGGAGAGTTTCTGATATACGTCAAGCATGCCCTTTCTCAGCTCCTCACCCCTCTCTCAGCAGTGTATTCGTGGGGCATGCTCTGAGTATGCCTGTTCTAAGCTCCCCACTCAGAGGACCCAGACTTCCCTGATCCAAGCTCACATGGGGAGAGATAGAGAGAGGGGGCCAGACTCCCTCAGAGGGACAAAGCACCCCATATTCCAATTCATGTGAGGGGGTAGGGAGAGGGGCTTAGATGCCCCCGGAATGCAATGCCTCCTGCAGACCCTGGCTCACATGAGAGGCGGGATGGAAAGCAGATAGATCCCCATGGGTAGGCAAGGCAGCTTCAGAGCCTGGCAAACAGATGCGGGACAGGTGCAGTGGTTAGACACCCCCAGAGAGGCAAGGCCCCCATAAATTCCACCTGACATGCAGAAGGTGGTGAGAGGGGCTGACTCCCTTAGAGAGCTAGGGGGTCCCCCAGATTCCAGCGTACACACACAAAAGGGACAGAAAGGGAGAATGTGAAGCTGTCCCTATTCCGCCCAGACCCTCTGCAACAAACCCTCATGTCTGATTCCCAGTATCCATTCCCTAAACCCAACCTCCTCTACCACCTGTCCCCATTTGTCTTCCTCCCCATAATCCCGTCTCTTCTCCATTCAGCCCCAAACCCCCTCTCACCCTATTCCCCTAAAATGGTCCTCTCTTGCCAGCAAGCATTTGCATGCTTATTTTTTTTTAAACAAAAATACTTTGATGACATTACACGCCCCCTCCAAAACAAAAGCCTGGTAGGAACAGATTTTAGCAACATGCCAGCCACGCTCTCCCAGATTTTTAACAAAGGGGGCCTCGAATGGTCACTAGCTGGGTAAGTTCAGGAACAAACACTAACTACACATCTCTTCAGTCTATCCAGCTGCTATGACGATATTCTACCTGCAAATCCTTTGGGGTTGGTTTATATACATGCTCAATGTAAGTTGTGGAGTGCTTGACCTTTACTCAAGAGCCTAAGTGGATGGCCAAACTCTTTTGCTAATAATGTTCTGAATCTTGCTTCCCCTAAAGGGCTAGTGGGTGCAATGAATTTTCTGGGGGTAACCCTCAAGTGCATGAGACCCTTGTGCCAGGATCAGCCCCATGGGCAAAAAACCATTACTAGAATGAACCTTTAGAAAAGCTGCTCATTTGGTGGGGGATGGCATCTCATGAACCCCTTGGTCAAATGACCCCAAATTTGGATCACTACACGTATCTTTCACTCCCATAAGATTCACCAATTTATAGTGGTGCACCTCAGGAGATGGCAAGGTAGGGTTAGTGACCCAAACTTAACATTTGTTGAGCCAGATGTTCTGGAAAGAAGCCCTAAAACCAGCCATTTTAAAAAAAAGTTTCTAGGTGGTGGGTTTTTAAAAAAAACAAAACAAAAACAAAAAACTTAGAGTTAGAACTCTAGAGCTAGAGTTCATAGGTAGATACTAAAGACTGGAAGATGAATCACAGACCACTGGATGGCTGTGAACTCACCCTTCAATTAACACTGCTAAAGATAGGTAGGGAGTTGTGATGAACTTAAGACAAAAGGAATTTTGAACTGAGCGTCTGGAGCTTGCTACAATGTCAGAGTCATAGGTGGTCATTTCATTTTGGGAGAAATGTAATCTAAGCGTTTGGGTGGAAAATTGGATGTGTAAACTTTCTGGGAATTAGGGTTGCCAAACCTCTAGGATTGTCCTGCAGTTTCCAGGAATTAAAGTATCAGAGGGGTAGCAGTATTAGTCTGTATCCACAAAGCCACCATACTCCTAGTTGTTTTTCAGGAATTAAAGATTAATCTTTAAAGATTGTGTCATGTAATGAAACCTCCAGGTATACGTTCAACCAAAATTGGCAACCCTGCTGGGTGGGAGGATTGGGGTAAATAGGAATAGGTGGTAAGGGAGGTACGAGGTCGGAGGTTCAGGTGATGGAGGCACGTGACCCCCAGCTCTGCCAGTGCACCCCAGTCCTGCACCACAACCCCCTGTGCCCCCACTGCCAATAAACCCAAACCATCCTGCTCCTCAACCTTCCTGCACTCCAACCCCAAGCTTGGTCTTGGCATCCTAACCCCCTGCATCCCACAGCTGTCTTTGCACCACAATCCCCATGCACCCCAACTTTCCTGCAGCCCCAGCCCTTTCAGTGTACTTCAACCTTCCTATACCCCAGCTCTACCAGTGCACCCCAACGCTACAGGAAAGCTACTGAACGAACATTAATCGGGAAATTGGAGGGTTCATGGCTGACCAGAAACCATTACAAGTGCTGACACCTCACGGTTTTTGGAGATGGGGTACATCTATCGGAAAGGGGTCAGAGGATTTTTCTCTCAAACATAAAATGGTCAGTGTTTTGGAACACAAACCCTAGCAGTGATTTCTCCCACCAGCTTGCTACAAAATCTAGCCATTCTGAAACCCGACGAGGAACACTATGCCACTGTAACACAGCTGTCCTTCATCCCAACCACTGCATGTGAATCAGATTAGAGTAGGGAGGAAGTGACAGCAATAGAAAAGTTAGTACACAGGGAGTGAAGACTTCAGGGAGAGGTGTTCCCTGCTTACAATAGGGAAGCCTCTGCATGGTAATGGGGATGGGGGAATGCAGTGAATTGGTCAGAAGCATGGCTGGGGCGGTGTGCTGAAGCAGGGCTAGTGAGGCACAGCTGATGAATGTGTGTGTTGGGCTGTGCAGCTGGCTCAGTACACTAATTGTGGAACACAATATGTACAACTGCCTATATGGCCACTACCTCCTAATGCCACCATAGCTTTTCCTGTTAAAAAAAAAAAAACAACCTAGGAAATTCCATAGCAAAGAACGACGTTAAATGCAGAGTTAAGGTTGCTTGGGGGTATGCCGTGTGCCTGCAGAATGCTGTGTGGAACAAAACTCCAACTACTGAAAACCAGGAGATGCACAAGTATGGTTGTGCAGGCAAGCTTACCTCTGCCCTTTTTCTGCAGTGCCGGGTTAACACTCATGCCTTTGCTCTGCCAACCCCGCAGCTGCTGACGTGTACAAGCTCTTTGCCTCCTTTTACAGCCCATTCACTCTCACCCACAGGGCTCCATCTAACACTATTACAGCACAAGAAAAAAAAAAGGCTTCCCACCCCATGTTCCATCTGTTCCCTAGAGCTGGCAGTAGCCAATGGGAATTATTTGCATAGACTCCAGTTGCAATCAGGATGCTAGGTGTACCTACACTAAATGGTGGAGGCAGTAGTTGGGCCTGCTTGGTAAGTGTGTTGGTGATGTGAACACGTGTGAATCACTCTGAGGTGTGTGAGAGCGGAGCTTAGGACAAGAGAAACTCTGTGTTTGCCATCCTCCGATGCCTGAACAAAGGGAGGAGCTAGGTGTGTACCTTCAGGATCTTGTGTGCACCAGTACAGTGCAGAATTGTGTACCTTATATTATATCATTAGCAGGGCACAGGGGCTGTATTAGAAAGGGTATTTTCCAGTAGCGAGCTGGCTTCTGAGCAATCTAAGCATTTATTATCTATGCACACTCCAGGCAAACTGAGTATGCTCAGGGGCAGATGGAGCTGTACTGAAGAGTAGAGGAACTAGTTAGCTCTGCTTGGTAGGTATGTTAGCGAGATGTATGACAGAGCTGTGACTCAGACATAAGGAGATGTGTGTGTGTGTGCGCATGTGTGGAGAAAGGCAGGAGGTGCATGTGTACCTTCAGGATGAAGTATGCCTCAGTTCTATGTGGAATTGTGTAGGTTATGTCAGTAACAGGGCACGAGGCTTTAATTACAAAGGATATTGCCAGCTGTGAGGTGGAATTTGAAAGGATTCTAATGCTTTCAGGATGGCTAAGTGAAAGTGTAGGTTGAGATGGTATCCTGTGTGTAACAGTAGCCCTACACTTAAGCTGGGAGGTGCGAGTCCCAGCTCACATAGATGTATCCACTGTGCATAGCTAGGGTGGCATGAGCAGTGGCTTGAGCTAGCCACATGAGCACAAACCCACCCAGACTCCCTGGGTACATACTACTTGTTAGGCTCATCCAAGCCACCATCCTGGCTACCCCAGCTACACTGCTATTTTTAGTGCACTAGCTCGAGCAGAGTTGCATGGGTATGTCTAGGAGAGCTGGGAGTCAGACCTCCCAGCTGAGATGTACCATCAGGGCACGGGAGCTGTAAAAGGCTGTAAAGCAGTTCGAACATTATACTTGTATGATATTATTTCTGGGAAGTTGGCTGAGTGTGATTGTGTATGCCACAATCTGGAACCTTCTGAATCTTTATAGTGCCAAGGGCCAGTGAGAATACGTGCACAGTGAGGCATAGCTGAAAGAGGCTAGAGGGAAGCTAGCATGGTCAACCTTCCCCTACCCTTTTTTGTCCTTTCATAGTGTTAGACGGAATCCTGTGGGTGACACTGAATGGACTGTAGAAGAAAGTGAAGAGCTTGAACATTTCAGCAACTGTGGGGTTGGCAGAGTAAAGGTATGTGTGTTAACAGAGAGTACTGGGGAATTACTGAAAGAGGACAACCTTAACTCTGCAATTCCTGATGTTCAGAAGTTTGAGTTTTGCTCAACTCAAGGATCTCTAGGGGACGACATGCCACCAAGAAACCTTAACTTTATGTTAACATTTTTTTTGCCATTAAATTACAAGGCAATATGAGTAACTGTGTGGATTTTAAAGCAATAAGAAAAGTCATCCTCAACCTTAGCTAGAGTGGAGCTAGCATCCCACTATAATAGAATTTCTCTCTTTATCACTGCTTTATTTCATATATTTTCAGAGTAATTTCTGTAGAAAATCATCACTAACAATGTCATTAAAACAATATAACATTATACCCATTTAGTTTATATTGGGAGAACTTACTCTTCCGGCCTCTTCCAAAGCTTTTCGATCTTTTAATACGTGACCAGCCACAGAGCTCAGTCTAATAGCATTTGAAGCAATAATGAAAGGAATGCAGACCAGGATAAGCAAAGTTAATCGCCATTCATATACAAAAGCAATAATGATGGCGGTCAGAAGGGTACAGGCAGCCTTAGTGAACAGGCCAAGTTGGCTTCCAGTAGCCTATCAAAGGCAAACAAAACAGTCCAAAGTTAGAGTTAATTCTTGACACACAAAATATAGATCAAATGTGTGAAATCATTGTTTCCTCAGGGTTAGGTTCAGGAAGCCTGATGAATTGAGCCCATGTGGCCACATTTTCAACAAAAATATCAGGGCCCTCCTGTGCCACAACAAGGCACAGAAATCATGAAGAGCCAACAGCCTCTAATTTGGGGAATCTCAGTTATTGGGTGCCTAGTTTAAGGCACCTAGGGCCTGATTTTCAGAGGTGCTGTGTATCAGCTGAAGATAATGGAAGCTACAGGTTCCTTTAATTAGGCACTTTGTTTTTCAGCAGTGTTAGCAGCAGGATATGAGTGTTCACACCAAAGAGCTCTACTCTCCCTGAGGATCTGCACATCCATGTCATCAAGAAATTTAAAAGTGATGACTGGCACACTGGATCTATGTAAACTGTGACAATACTCATGGCTCGAGCTGAGCAAATAGTGTATTCTTCAGACTGGGGGCCAAACTGGAAAAATCAGGGGGAAAAATTGATTTGATTAGAACTGAACCAATTACAAAAAAATTTTTTTTGTCAAATAAAAAAATAATAATTTCAAATTGACCAAAACATTTTGGTGGACTAAAAACTCCCCCCAATTTTTGTATTGATTTGGCCATTTGCTGTGTTTTTCTCCTCTTTTTTATTTGGTCAAATTTGAAAATGAAATGCCATTTCAGAACAAAAGTAGAAATGGCATATTTTTAAATGGTCAAAATGAAACATTTAGACTTAAAACAAATCTCCCTCCCTATCTCTTTTGACGATTAGTCAAATTTGACCTGAATTCATGAATAGATTTGGGACCCCTAAAAATACGTAGTTCAGCAAAAATACCATTCACTGAAAACATATTGGCCAGCTCTATTCACGCCTGCAGATGAAATGGAAAGTTTTGTGGAAACAATCCATCTTCAAATATTGCACTGTGGACAAATCAAGAAAACCTTGGGTGGGAAGTATGATTCTTTCTTCGCTAGCCAGAGGCTTTCCTGCCCTCAAGAGACTTATGGTCAATAAAATTATAAAATCAAACCAATAACAAGATGAATTATTGCCATATACTCTAGGGGCTTACACATAAAGATCACTTTGAGACTTCAGCTAGCATAACATATGGCTGCCCACTTACTTAGCAGTAGCAGTGCTGGTTCCAGGGTATTAGAGAGACAAGATAGGTGAGGTAATATCTTTTATTGGATCAACTTCTGTTCGTGAAGATGACGACCTGAAGAAGAGCTCTGTGTAAGCTCAAAAGCCTCTCTCTCTCACCAACAGAAGTTTGTCCAATACAAGATATTACTTCACCCACCTCATCTCTCACTCACAGATATTTCTTTGTTCTCCAGAGTAGGGGTTCTCATCCTTTTTCTTTCTGAGGCCCCCCCACAATATGCTATAAAAACTTCATGGCCCACCTGTGCCACAATAACTGGTTTTCTGCATATAAAAGCAAGGGCCAGCATTATGGGGTAGCAAGCAGGGCAATTGTCTGGGTGGGGCCCTGCAAAGCTGCATTGTTCAGGCTTTGGCTTCATCCCCGTGTGGCGGGTTCAGTGCCCTGGGCTTCTGCCCCAAGAGGTGCGGCTTTGGCTTTCTGCCCTTGGCCTCAGCGAGTCTAATGCTGGCCCTGCTAGGCGGATCCCTTGAAACCTGCTCGCAGCCAGTTGAGAACCACTGCTCTGGAGAATGCAATGTTCTGATGTTCATTTTGCTCTATTAAGCTCTTTTTTTATAGTTTGGATCCTGTGCACCACCTTTTTCCCGTTTTACCTTGACAGCTGGGATGATGGACCTTATCCTCAAGAATTAAGTTGCAGTTTTTAAAGATTCAAGTAATTGTATGTTCAGTCAAATATTTGATTGATTCCCACTCTGTGCTGGCCAGTAAAGAAGAGATGGGAGGGTATGAAATCTAGTGAGTCTGAGGATCTAGTGAATCCAGGAGTTGAAGAAGGATTTTTTTTTTTAAAAGACAGGTGAAGTAGAAAAATTTAATTTAATTTTAAACTAAACTAGTGAATAAATCAGGAAACTCATTACCATTTGCTCAGGAGTGATTTTAAGAAGTATGGCTGATGTTCCAGAATGTTTTTAATTGGGTCGTGTGGTGGGGAGGAAAGGGGAGATTATGGCAAATTTTGCAAAATTTGCCATACTTATTTGCAGGATTTTCAGTGGCTCCTATCCTATACCACTCCCGAAATCACACAGTCCCTCAAGCTTCTATTATCACTGACACTCTGTATTAATGACCACTCACTTCACCCCCTAAAGCCCACATAAACAGGCTTTCTGTGCATGAAATGCAGTGGATAGAGCTGGGAAGAAGAAATCTACCCATGTCAACAAGAGGCCAAGGCATGGGCTGCAATGCAACTCTCCCACAACTATAGCTCCTCCAAGCAACCGAAGTGGGGCTTTACGGCCACTTGATACACTGAAGACTTTGCTCCATTATGCGGTTTAAGTGGTGCAGAAGTGCTTACACTGGCCCTTGGACATGGCTTACTTTTAAAGTTATTAAGTTGTTTACTTAGCAGCTTACAGCAAGGAAATGGAAGGTATACGAACATCTGCTGAAGCTTTGATAGTCGTCATAAATTGGGACTACTGAAACGGTTTCCAAGACATTGATAGTGTGCCATTTAAATGTGTCAGCCAGTCTCTAGAGTAGATTTACCAACTCGTTTTCCAAAATAACTTCATCGTCCCTTGCCAACACAGCAATTCATATTTGTAAGCAAAACGTAAAAACAAAAATAAACATACCCCTTTGATTTGTGAAGCATCTGTAGCTAGTCTGGTTAACAAAACCCCTATGGCATTTTTATGATCGTCATACCACCCAATCTCCTGAAAGTGAACAGATGGTTCAGTTATTTTTGCTTTTGTAAATGAAATGTTCTTATAGTAACTCAGACTTGTCAGGGTCATTAGTACAGTGTATGGACATTTAAAGCTTGACTAGCATGTGTGTGTGGGGGGAAGAGAGAGAGACAACATAAGCACTAAGATGTTCATCACAAAAAAAGAGTGCGTAACATTTGTCAGATAAACTAAAAACGATCTTAAAATAAACTATTCTTACCCTCAGAACATTAAACTGGTAACAATCCAGGTGCTATTAACTGCAAAGATTTTAGAATGTAGTCACGTATGTGTCATGCACCATAATGGGAGTGCCTTCCACGCCCATATCAACATCTGATGGGCACAGTGCTCCTCTCCTACATGTTTTATATTACACTGACTTTTGTGGAGCTAGTCCTGATTGATATGGGTGCATGTGGGAGGAGAATCAGCGTCATTATCCTTAAAGGTAGTGGAAAAGAAGGAGATATTTGGGGTTTTTTTGTAATTTTCCCTCTCCTCCCCTATCTCCTTTGAATGCTCCTGTGCATATGCAGAACCCTGTGATACCAAGCGCTACCAATGGGTGTGCTAGGTGCCAAATTGTCCACCCACAGAGAATCCTCTGCCAGGAACAAATAGAGGTGTGTCCTTTCCCAGGGATCCATCAACAGGGAGTATCCAAGGACAGTCATGTTGCAATAGTATTATTGTAAATCATTTCTGATCCAACTGGTCATATTTACTAGAGAAACCACTCTAGTGAGCAAAGATAATGCTTTGAGAACCTATACCTGTTATGATATGGTCCGTTTGCTATGGAGTTTGATGCAAACAGACCTAAACCTATTTATCTAAACATTTATATCATGACCATCGGGGCAGATAGAGATTTTGTTTTGTTAATCTTTGCAAATATACCAATGCACTCAGATACATGCATGTTTTATACACTCTTCAGTATGGTCTATATTGAAAGAGATGGCATCAAAATTAGAAAGCTCTCCTAGCAGCACTGAGTTAATTTGTACATGCTTTTGCTTTATTTTGTTTTGCATGTGTGCTCAGAGACTTGCCGCTTGTGCATTGTTAAAATTTCACTAAAAGGATGGGTTCTCTTGAAGCCGTATTGAAGGGAGGCTCTAGACAGGCCGTATGGAACCAGGAATTTTCATGGTGTTATACAAACAGCCCACAAAAGCCATCTGGCTCACATGGCAGGAGTGCTGTATATTTGCTGTCTATTGCTCTTACCCAGAAATGTGACCCATACCTGCTGAATCAATGCTTTGAATGATAAAAATCGCAATCTCTTGGTCAGAACTTCCCCAGACTTTCCAAACATGAATCCCTGAAAAGGGAGAATAAGAAATAAAACAATTGAATTGTATGTGTTGGACTGTACAGTCATATTTAGAACAACCTCCTGTAAATGTGATGATATTTCAACCGTTCAGCCACACAGTTTACAGAAACTACACAGTGTTTTGGGATATGGTTTCAGAGGTTAGTTTAAAGCTGGTGAAAGGTACTACATGTATTTCTGGAAACTGAAGTTTCATCATACTGCCCCACCCACATTCTTCTGCAGCCAGCTGCAGAGGTCAGCAGTGAAGTCACCTTCCTGGCTTACTCATTCCTTAGCCTCACTACTCACTCTACTATCTAACAGTGCCGACTGTGCCGGTGTTTTTTGTAACATACACACAAATGTAGTGGAACTGGGCTGTGCCCAAACGCATTCCCCCAGGACACAGACCGGTCAGCAGCACCTTTCAGGCATTGGTGCCCTGGGCTGCTTTGTAACTGGCAATCGAGAAGAGTAAGGTTCTGTATTCCATACCAGCCCAGTCATTAAGTCATTCAGTGGCTTGGCTCTGGAACAGTTTATAAGAAACATAGTGAATACAAAGTTGCATTATGTTCCCAAAACAGCCTCTCAAGGAGATCTGAAAATCATGACCATAATGTATGTGACCAGATACTTAGCTTTGACTTTTCAATGTAGTGAAGTTTACCTGGATTATGTGGGTTACTAAACTGATCACTGACAGTACAAGAAACATTAGAGAAAGCCATGTGGTGGTTTTGCTCCTTTTTTCAGGATCTGTTTCTTGAAAAGCCTATGTAAGAAAAGCACAAAGTAACCACCAGTTACAATAGCTCAGAAACAAACACTGTATAAATGATTGAACTTTACCTTCTCTCAGCTCTTCCCCGGCTCCTGAACTCTGCCACCTCTCAGCTTTCCGCTGCTGGCCAGGAGGTCACTCCACCTCTCCCAGCTGACCCGCCTCTCATCAGCTACTCCTTCTCCAATCCTCCACCAGACCCTCTCCTCATTTGCCTGTGACCTGCAGTTCCACTAAACCCTGCCTCCAAACTGCCACTTCACCAGCTCTTATCTGCCTTCCACTGAATGCTGTCACTCCGTCAGACCATCCACCTCCCCTCCAGCTGACTACAACACCCCTCTTCTCTTGCCTGAAGATAAAAGATTCCCTCAACATCTTGCTCCAACTATTCTTCCTGGCTGCTGCTCCAACTCTCAGCAGCTTCCAACAATCATATATTGGAATCCAAAGGAAGACTCCATTTCTTTCCTGCAATGATTCAGGAATCAAGGGGTTAATTATTCAGACAGTCCCATGGATGCCCCCGGTACTTACAAACATGGTGGAATGCAAGGCACCTTGGAGGAGCTTACTGTCCAAAGAGAATGGGTACTGTGCAAAGAACAGGGTCAGGTACAAGGCAGAGAGTCTGCACAACAGTGGAGAGTGGTAAGTGAAAACTGAGTTTGATAAGGGAAGGTGATTTGCTTCACTGGAAAGATGAAGTCATTCCACATACAGGGGCTGGAAAATAGGCAAGAAGTCCCAAGTGGGGAGAGGAGATCAAGGGCTTGATCAAGTTCCTACTCAAGTCAATGGAAAGACTCTTGTAGAGTTCAATGACAGTGGGAGTAGAATGAGGCTCTAAGGCATCACTAGAGAGGACTAGCTGGAGGGTCAGGCAGGATTTAAAGTTCTGCATTTGTGCCTGGTTCAAGTTAGTTTACCATCCAGTTCTGAACTTACCCCAATGATTTTTCCAAATATAACAGAAAATACAGTGTAGATACCACCAGAGAAGGCAGCAGCAATCATGCCAAAGAATATATGCAGCCACTCCGGTTTGTTCAGAGCCAGAATTCTGGAATAAGGCACAGCAGGAAGATTTTCCTCCTAAATAAGAGATAAAATTCAGCTGTTCACTGGAAGTTGTGGAACATGACAATTTCCCCAGCTCAGGGGTAAATCAGTAAACTGTCCTAGCAACTGTTCACAGATAATTCGCCCCAGCCTCCAATGTACACATTGAATAAGCAAACAGACTGAAGATTTGCCACTCTGTAATTTAAGGTCTTAAAACTGCAATTGCAAGTCAAAAAAATCTGCAGGCATAAATTTCACAAAAGTCTAAGTGGGTGGGGTCTATATAGTTCAGTGAAATGTCAGATAGGGTCAGTGACCATGGATTGCAACTTTAACTCATGAATCATTATAGCGACCTAAAAGTCTCACTGTTCTGAGCACAAAAAGACCAGTCTAGTTCAGCCTCTGCAAATGCTAGTGGGTTGGCAAGGATACAATTGGGTCTCGTTATGTCAGTTAGTCTGTTTTGTCTTTTACAAAATACAGACTATGAATCATTACCAGATGCATGGAAAAGGCATATGAAACAGTGATTTAGGCTTCATCTCCCTTAAAAAAATACATGGCAGCTCAATTCAGCTTCACTGAACTATTCAAAATGTCCACACATTTGTTGAGGAAGTTGTGGAAAATGAAATGAAAACATAGGAACGGGTACAGATTATTAGATGAGGTTTTGGCCAGTTGCGATGGCCTCGCTTGGTTAGCTTTGCCTGTGTTTCAGATACTGGAAAAGCCTGTCCACATTTCAACCATACAAGCATGCTGAACTTTGTGACAAATAATTTCATGGCTTCCCATCTGATTTCTTCACTTTACTGCAAACAGTATGAATTCTGAAGCCATGCATCTTGCCATCTATTTCCTCTGACAAGGCCCAAATGCAATAGTTATGAATAGATAAAAAATGTGTTCTGGACTTCTGGGTGATACATTGTAAGAATGCATCCAGCTGCTGCATATTGTTTGCATCATGTTCTACCAGAAGACTGTACTATAATAAAAAAAAAGAGCTCCTAGAACAGGGTTTCTCCACTGGTGGGTTGCGACCCAAAATTGGGTCATCTGAATGCATTTAAGGATCACAGGGCTGGCTGGGCTCAGCTTCCCCCTCTGGGCTTTGTGACCTGGTGCACATGGCTGCAATGCCACTCTCACAAATTTGGCCTGGTTGGCCCCCTCATCAGGATGGCCAGGCCAAACCTGAGCAGTGCTGCAACCTCTGAGATTGCAACACCCAGAGTGGGAAGCCAAGCCCAGCCAGCCCAATGGGACAGGAGCTGGGAGAGAGCAGCTGGGAACACAATCTCTGGCAAACACTGACCCCCTGATGTAACCCCCACCTCGCATCTGGGCAACACTCCCTCTTCCATAACCCTTGTCCTGCACCCCATTTTGGACCCCCTGATATAGCCTTCCCCCACAGCCAAGTGATTCTCCCTCTCTCATACCACCTATTGTGGCCTCCAGCTCCCTCAACTCCTTCCCCCCCACCCCTCACTGTAACCCTTGGACCCCAAATCCCTCCACTCCTTTACCCTCTTCTCTCCAGGGGCTGCACGAGGTGTCTGTGGTTTTCCGGGAGCTATCAGTTTGACCCCCCTCCCCCAGACCTGTCTGCCTCCATATCCTTCCCCCAGCCTCCAACTGCACCTCCACACCCCTCTGCTACCATTTCCTTCCCCAGACCCTCCAACTCCTTCCTCATTTACATCCCCAGACTCCCAATCTCTCCATTTTACCACCAGCCCCTTATTCTCACCACCCCCCAGTGGGCTGTGTGGGGGGGGGGGCGGGGCAGGGTTTGTGTGTTTTTGGAGGGTATGTCTTGGTTACCACCCCTCCCCCCAGTTGTTGGTGGGGGGAGTTCCCCACCTGTTTACATCTGGCTAGAACACCTGGAATCTTAGCTCCGAGTCCCACCAAACCCCTGATGGATCCCTGCAGGGTCGGGTGGCATTGGGTCTAGGGGTGTCTCAGGAAGTCTCTGGGTCACAACAGACCATTACACATAGGGCTGAGAAAGGTTGAGAAACAAAACACAAACATCTGGCAAGGTTAGGTACATTATGGATTCTGAAATTATATTCACGAATCAAACATATTATAGAAGAAATTCCAGGAAAACTCCCATTGATTTCAATGTCAGCAGGATTTCACCCTACGTTTATATTCTAGCTCTTTGCACTGGCAGATCATTGAAAAAAGTTCTGTAGGTCTTCTATAACCAGCCTCATACAAGGATGTGAATAATTATATTGTGTGCAGTTCAAACTAACATATATATATATTCTGCAATAAAGTCCTTGTTTGGCCTTATGGACAAGGTCTAATCCAGAGACCACTGAAATTCCTTTAATTAACTTCAATGACTCCATTGAAGCAGGGCCTAAAACCTGAAGTCCTTACCTGGTTTTTATTCAGTTCTAACTCAGGCAAAATACCTTAACAGGAAGGGGAATTTTGTCTGAATAAAAACAGAGTAAGGACCTCCGGAGCTGGCCCTATTGAAACAGAGAGAGAGGTGGTTGGAGAAAAAGGTAAATCTTTTCTATTGTTTTAATTTAGGCTGCATTTCAAAATAGAGATTTGAACATTTTCTCTGTTTAGTGTGTGGCCAACACTATTATTAATTATAATAATTTGCATTTATATAGCACCTTTCATCCCAAAGTGCTTTACAAACTGGGATACATATCACAAGGATTGTGTCATCCACTGGTAAAACACCATGTCTGTGTAAGTAGGTATAATTTAATTACTTGAGTAGGAACTTGGCCAGGACAGTGGATTTAACACCCTAATCTTATGAAGTTTGACAAGAGGTTGAGAACTTGTTTGAACTTCTTAATAAAAAGATAACTAACAAGCATAAACCTCCTTACCACCATATTGTGTATCAGGTTAATTCTGTCTCAAGAGGTCAGACTGATTTGTTTACCCCTGTATTTTCTCTGAAGATTCCCAATTTCAAGAATTCATCCAGGTCAATGTTGTATATGACAGGATCATAGCAAAGGTGGCATGGCTTAAGGCCTTTTTAAAAAAGAAAATAAAATTACCTTTGTTTCTATTCTCACAAGCTATCACTAAACTTTAGGATTAAACTGAATTTTAACACTAACCTCTTTCTCCTTGGTGCCACCGGATTCCTTGTTGTTCTCTGTCTCCTTCTTTTCAGATGACTTTTTTTTAGAAGAGGTCTTTCTGCTTTTACACTTTCTGAATCTACCAGGAATGCTTTCCATTTCAAGGATTCCTGGTTCTTCAAAACCGCCAAGATCAGTCACGTTCTCCATCCTGAGATCATCTAGATTTTGTGTCTCTTCATCACATTCCGATATCTCATTTTGAGTGTTTCCACTATGACCCTAGTAACAAGCAAGGAATAGTGATACACAGTCACAAGACAGTTTGCCGCAAGGGGAAGGAACAGTATACTTGGTATGGAAACAAACAAAAAACCACCACCACTTTGGTTACGTGGTCACTTTCACATAGTAATTTGTATAGGCCAAGTTCTCTGCCAGTATAAGTTGGTGCAGTTGCAACTTACACCTACAGAGAATTTGGTTCTGTATGTCCCCCCCCCCGCCACATAGCTCAGTCAAATCTGGGAACTAACAGTTCTGTGATGATGTCATCCACCTCCTCTGCTCAGTTATGTTTTTGACTCATTACATTGGGTAAATGTGAAGCACTGCTACCCGTGAAAAACAACCACTTCCAACTTATAAACAAGATTGACTGATCAACTTTCACTCAACTAGAAAACATGCAGAAACTGCAAAGCGAAAATGGCCCAGCTGTTTGAGTGCAGAACCTGCATGTGTCAGCAATAGTACCAGTGAGATCATAGGCGCTGACACTGTGGGTGCTCCATGGCTCAAACACCCACTGGAAAAAAAAAAAAAAAGTACGGGGTGTTCAGCACTTGAAGGGCTGGACAAATCTTTTGTGGGTCCCAGCACCTGGACTGTGGCTCCGCCCCAAGGCCCTGCCCATCACACTGCCCCCAAGGCCCCTCCCCTGGTTGGCCTCTTCTCTCCCAAGGCCCCTCCCACAGGTCACACACGGTGGGGTGGGGGGGGGAGAGGAGCACCCACTGGCAAATACAAAAATCAGCACCTGTGAGTGAGATATACAGATAATTTTCTGGAGTAGAGAGACGGCCAGTAAATCTGAAGCATTTAGTCAGGAGTGCTGTATCATTACCTGCCGCATCACAAGAGAATAGTAGTCACCCTTCAATGTCATGAGTTCATTGTGTGTTCCCTGTTCAACAACAACACCATTGTGAAATCCAGCAATAATGTCAGCCGTCTGGATTGTGGAGAGCCGGTGAGCTATCACAATGGTGGTACGTCCAGCCCTAGCCTTACAGGAGGGAGAAAAAAAAAAGGTACTTTAAAATGAGGTGGGAAAAAAAAATCCCTACCTAACAGCACAGCGATAGTGTGGAAAATGCAAGCTTAAATGCCCTGCTGACCCTTTATAGCTGATCATTATTTCCATGCATGCGGTCTGATTTGACAACCAAAGGACACTTCTGATTACAAAATCCACATTTATAATAATGACAGGGAAAAGTGAATTAATTTTATAGGCTGTGTAGGTACCAATGCCTATAGCTAAGGTTGCCTGACCCTTCCAATTGGAAGATTGGTTGTCAGATGCTTATAACTTTGCCAAGATTTAATTATTTGGGCTGAAACTTTCCATGCTGGTATCTGCCTCAGGCTGTGGTGGTTTTTTGTTTTGTTTTTTTAAATTTCAGCAAAAATGGTTCAATGGTTTCTCAGAATGAGATTAGAGGAAAATAATGTTGTTTTGCCCATATTAAAACATTCTTATAACTTTTTAATTGAGAAGCTTTTATCACCTAAATGCTTGAGAGCAGGGACTTGAAATTTGGAGGAGATGGGCATGTCTCACTGGTATCAGGGATGTGCCTTTTACCATTCCCATGAAAATCTGCCCAAATTTGGCCGAGTTATGAGGCTCTGAAAATCTCAGTTTGCACGTGCTCAGTAAAGACTTGTCAGTGTTCAGCAGCTAAATTCTCCAAAGAAACAGTCTGCTTTAAGCATGCTGCATTGTATGACAGGAGTGCACATGCACCATCCCCACAGTGTGACTAAGCATGTTCCAGCCCAGGACTCTGGGGTGGGGGAGGGAGACTGAGCAGCACTTTGCCTGCAATTTCTCCTCCCTATAGTCAGGGGGAGTTGTGGCTCCAGGCACAAAACAAGAGTAGGGAGAGCAGAATGAACAGTCATTGTGGAAGGAATCAAAGTTATGCAGTAAAGGATGCTCTTGTCTGCAGGAAACCCGCCTTATTTGTTGCAGAAGTTGTATGTTGTGTAGTGAATGAGGCAGGGGACTGCAGGAAAAGAGAGGATGGTCTCATTATTGTTATGGCAGCTGAATACTGCCCTGCAGAATTGGATTCTAGCCCTGTCTCTGCCATAGAGTTACTATATGATGCTGGGCAAGCCAGTGAAACCAAACTTTTCACACGTTGGTACTAATTGTGTGGTCCTCATTTTCTGGGTGCCTGACTTGAGGCATTGGGGTCTGATTTGCAGAAGTGCTGAGCATTCACAGCTGCAACTGAAGTCAATGGGATATGTGCTTTTAACATATATAGCGCTGTATAATGCAAAACTCTCTGAAATATTGAGTCCTGGGCATCGCGGATCAGGCACCCAAAAGTAGTATGCACTTTCAACATTAACATCTCTGTGTCTCAGTTCCCCTTCTGTAATATGGGAGTAATACTACCACCTTACTTGTCAGGGGTGTTGTGAAGATAGTGTTTATGAAGCACTCAGATATTAGAGTGATGAGAGGTACAGAAAAGCCCAGGAGGAAGTTAATAATTTTGTTTTCAGAGCAGGGTTTGAATGGCATGGGGGCATACATTGAATGCGGAGGATAAAAAGAAATATTCACTAGGACTGAATGAAGCACCATCCTGTGCACTGAATGAAGCAGGGGCCCTGTGGAAAAAAATAGGATGTGATCGTTTAATTGAAGACTATCCCTTAATGCAGACACACACGGGGTCCAAATGAATGTTGACCAGGCAACTTTAATTCTGTCATTCCCTAAATTTGGAGTGCTTGACTTTGGAACCTTAATGTTCTTTTCATGTTTTGTGTGTGTGTGTGTAAAATTCAGTATAAATAATGATATCTATGCATAATATAAAGGCTCAGCACCCAAATACTACCCTCAATTACACCATGCACTACCACTGATATTAGGGTTGCCAACACTGACTGAAGCTATTCCAGGAGAATTCCTCCCCCTCCACCTCTCCAACATGACAATCTAATTTTCTTAAAATAGCCGATTAAAATCTCCTGGATTGCTTTCTATGGTCACCAGGAGATGGATGCCGATTCCGGGAGACTCCAGCCCAATCCTGGAGGGTTGGCAACCCTAACTGATATCAGTGTGGTCAGATGGGTATAAGTGAAGGCAGAATTTAGGCCCACCGACTTAAAATTTATTGCAGATAAATGCTGTGGGCCATAAAGTGCCCTTGAGCCAAGCATAGAACTTATGCTATTCTGTGTTTACTATTACTGAGTACTAATGGGAGGCAAGCTTTCTCATAGAGCTTATTTTTATGATACACCACTGGTTATATACAAATAAATGTCAGAAACCTAAAGCAATGCTGCAGCCCAGTCCTGTAGGCCACAATCAGGTGAAGCTCCATATTTGGTCACTGACTTACCGTGTGTCCACTTAACCTGTCCGTGCCTCAGTCTCCTCATTTTTAAAATGGAGAAAATAATCCGTAAACCCCAGCAGTGTTATGAAAATTATTAAAACATCTGTTTAATGATTGGATAAGATACAGTGATGTAGAAGCACAATGTATTTTTATTATTGCCCTGAAGAAATTCATACAATTCTGGCACCTTGCTTTGATAATGTAGGAGTTAAATTACTGATGCCACATTCACAGTTCACCACCTCCTGCCTTACATCACAATTGCTTGTCTGTGGTAGAGGCCAGCATTAAAGAAAACTTCTGTCTACATGCAAATATCTTGGCAATCAGGAATGACATTAAGAGAAATCGAGCCTGCGATTGCTTTAGGGTTGCCACCTGTCTGGGTTTTTATCTGGATAGTCTGTTTTTTGGCTTCTGTGTCCAGGTGCCATTTAGGGTTTCCAGGTGCCCAGTTTTTGGCGACCTGGCAACCCTATGGCACCTGAACCAAAAGCTCAGTTACTGCAGGGTGGGGAGAAGTGCTGGGTCATTAACGTGCACCAGCCTCTGCTCAGCCGGGCCGCCTCCTACCTGCAGGCAAGCTCCTTGAGATGGTCCAGAGAGCAATGGGGGCAGGGGGAGAGAAGCGAGCAGTGAAGGCGGGGCCTCAGGGGAAGAGGCAGAAGACGGGGCGGCAACCCAAGATTGCTTAATGGAGTTTTGATTAATTATTACAGGGTCATATCATGACACCAAAATTTGAGCATGCATCCCTATGGATTTCAATGCCCTTCTTGAAACCAGTGGAGAGCTATGCTTAAAAACTGATGGCATGCTATAGTCTTTAAATGTCAAGCTTGCCATATGGTTGTTGTGCTTCTTAATATTGATTGATAACCAGCAATAGGATTCCTACCTTATCAAGAGCTGCTTGCACTACAGATTCACTCTGAGTGTCCAGAGCAGACGTGGCTTCATCCAGCAGCAGAATCCTGGGATTCCTTGCCAGGGCACGAGCAATAGCAATTCGTTGTTTCTGCCCTCCGCTCAGCTGAGCTCCCCTTTCCCCCACCATAGTGTTAAATTTCTGAGAAAACCAGAGGAGCATAGAGATTGCAGAAGGGGTCAGTTAAAATCCTTTTAAACCCCCTCCCCCAATCTTATTGTTACTATCACAATCAGAAATTCCCTCTTCAAAAGTTTTGTGATGGATGGTCAAATAAATGCGTTAAGAAAAATTACTTCTAAAAAACGGTCTTGGCCAATTACATTCAGTGTTTCTTCCCCCTTGAGGCAGAGGACAGTTTAAAATGTCTAATTGTAGGATTCATACAAGGTTCATGCGCTTGGCAATATTTAGGGCACACCCGGAGTGTTGTGTAGGAGCTGTGCACACACAGCTCCTCTCAAGGGCATGAACCTTGGAATCTCGCCCAGATGACATGAACCGTGGGAAGCCTCCCAGGACTGGGCTCAAGGCTCGAGAGCAAGGAATGCGGTAGATAGAAACTGGTAAATAAGAATGTTAAACAAAGCCAGTGTATTCCTTTTATCTGTTGGAGAATGTAATGCGCAGGGGGAGAGAAAGAATAAAGGGGAAGGTGGAAAGCTGACAGGCAGAAGTCGGTTGGCAGACCAGCTCGCTTGCTTGCTAAAAGCTCTGTGCTGTCTTGTATTTGAACTGCAACATCTAACGATCGGTTTACATTTTTGTCTCGGTCTCACCTTCTAGTTGGCCAGGAATTAGTATGTGGTGTGATGGTTTTCTATTAGCTTAAAGAATGTACTCTAAAATTAGATTTTTCAATTATTATAAAAAAGAAGCAACTGAAGTGAAAAAACAGACAAACTAGAACTGGCTGAAGGAATCCAGCCATTTGATTGGCAAGAAATAATAACCAGTGACTACTCAGGACCACATTAAAGCAATTTTGTTTGCCAATCTCAAGCCAGTTTAAAAAAATACATACAAAAGACAGGAATATTGGAAGTGGGAAAAAGATAGATAATACCTAGCAGAAGAAAATAGAATAAAAACAATCTGGCAAATTGAAAAATCTCTCATTGTTCACAGAAATTCCTTATCTACCCTATTAAAAAAATGTTGCCACATGACACACAGTTAGTATTCTAAATTAAGAACATTGTGAGCCAAATTGTCAATTGGAAGAAATGGCAAAAGATCAGTGAAAAGCTAGTGAAGCACTACTTATTTGCACCAGCAGAGAATTTCGGCCACAAAATTTCAGAAGAACTGAGAGAGAAACCAAAGACTTTGTCATAGTTATAAGATGCTCAAAAGTACATCAACTCACATCAGGCAGTCTGGATATAAAATCAAAAGCATTGGCTTCTTTAGCTGCTTTCTCAATTTCAGAATCAGTAATACCCTCTCTGCCATAGCGAATGTTCTCAGCTATTGTTGTAGCAAACAAAATAGGCTCCTGGCTTACAAGGCCAATATGTTCTCTTAGCCACTTTACATTAAGTGTCCGAATATCTCGTCCATCTAAGGTAATCTGAGTGGAAAGACAAATGAAGAGTTTGAGGAAATGTATTATGTTTAAAATAATTAGTTGTTATAATGGTATAATAATGATATAATAATTGACTTAAGTATTTGTTTAGTAGCTTCTCACATGGAATAAAGCAAGAAAATTTAAAACATGACCAGGAAAAATTAAAAATGTGTCTTCACTATCACCTCAGACTAGAATAATGGAAGGAGCAGGATAAACAAAAAGGATATCCCCAAATATTTAAATCCAAATTTTGACTTCCCTTAATATCAGTAAAAAGAAAAGGAGTACTTGTGGCACCTTAGAGACTAACCAATTTATTTGAGCATAAGCTTTCGTGAGCTACAGCTCACTTCATCGGATGCATACTGTGGAAAGTGTAGAAGATCTTTTTATACACACAAAGCATGAAAAAATACCTCCCCCCACCCCACTCTCCTGCTGGTAATAGCTTATCTAAAGTGACCACTCTCCTTACAATGTGTGTGATAATCAAGGTGGGCCATTTCCAGCACAAATCCAGGGTTTAACAAGAACTTCTGGGGGGTTGGGGGGTAGGAAAAAACAAGGGGAAATAGGTTACCTTGCATAATGACTTAGCCACTCCCAGTCTCTATTCAAGCCTAAGTTAATTGTATCCAATTTGCAAATGAATTCCAATTCAACAGTTTCTCGCTGGAGTCTGGATTTGAAGTTTTTTTGTTGTAATATCGCAACTTTCATGTCTGTAATCACATGACCAGAGAGTATTAAGGATCTACAACCTATCCTGAAGGATGACCCAACACTCTCACAAATCTTGGGAGACAGGCCAGTCCTTGCCTACAGACAGCCCCGCAACCTGAAGCAAATACTCACCAACAACCACATACCACACAACAGAACCACTAACCCAGGAACCTATCCTTGCAACAAAGCCCGTTGCCAACTGTGCCCACATATCTATTCAGGGGACACCATCACAGGGCCTAATAACATCAGCCACACTATCAGAGACTCGTTCACCTGCACATCCACCAATGTGATATATGCCAACATGTGCCAGCAATGCCCCTCTGCCATGTACATTGGTCAAACTGGACAGTCTCTACGTAAAAGAATAAATGGACACAAATCAGATGTCAAGAATTATAACATTCATAAACCAGTCGGAGAACACTTCAATCTCTCTGGTCACGCGATTACAAACATGAAAGTTGCGATATTACAACAAAAAAACTTCAAATCCAGACTCCAGCGAGAAACTGTTGAATTGGAATTCATTTGCAAATTGGATACAATTAACTTAGGCTTGAATAGAGACTGGGAGTGGCTAAGTCATTATGCAAGGTAACCTATTTCCCCTTGTTTTTTCCTACCCCCCCACCCCCCAGAAGTTCTTGTTAAACCCTGGATTTGTGCTGGAAATGGCCCACCTTGATTATCATACACATTGTAAGGAGAGTGGTCACTTTAGATAAGCTATTACCAGCCGGAGAGTGGGGTGGGGGGAGGTATTTTTTCATGCTTTGTGTGTATAAAAAGATCTTCTACACTTTCCACAGTATGCATCCGATGAAGTGAGCTGTAGCTCACGAAAGCTTACGCTCAAATAAATTGGTTAGTCTCTAAGGTGCCACAAGTACTCCTTTTCTTTTTGCGAATACAGACTAACACGGCTGTTACTCTGAAACTTAATATCAGTAAAATCCTATCTAGGTTTTTACAATATTCTCATCATCATGGCATACAAGTAATGAAAAATAAGTATCAGAATTTCTTTGGGTGCTACATATCTTTTGTTCTTTTAAGAATCCAATTTTTTGTAACGTCCTTTTAAAGTGTAGGTTTAATCTATTCAGGAAATTAATCTTCATCCTAGTAGCCATGAATATCGACAGTTCATCCAAACTAACCTCTCCTTGGACTGGATCATAGAATCTCTGTAGCAGCTGAATAGCAGTACTTTTGCCACAGCCACTGGAGCCAACCAGAGCTATGGTCTTCCCCGATTGAACTTTCAGGTTCAGGCCGTTGAGAATCTGGAAATATAATCTTTATATGTTAGTCCAATAAATACAGAGCTACTTAAATAAATGGCTTGTTTAGAAAAAGGTCCATTAAGATGCCTGAACTCCCAGGTCTGCTTTTAGTCCTTTGTTCCAGTCCTGGTTGGAAAGCACTTTGAAGGTGACAAGAAAAAGTTTTTATTACTAACAATCTTGCTTTGTTCTATTCCTATTCCATAAAGATTGCCCTAAGAAAAAACCTTTGGCTCTGAAAACAGAGTGGGTGTTTTAATATCCCCAATGGAATGAAGAGTCAGGGTTCGACAATCTCTAGAATTTACTAGGGATTAGTTATGGAGAATGACACTTTTGTTGCTGTGTTCACATTTAGGAACATTTGACCTCAGTCCGTTTATCCCATCTTATAAATGTCTAATATTATTAGTGGCCAAAATATTGGTCTCCTATGGGAATTCTTATGTATATTTATATTTAGACTGAGTTACAACTACACAATTTTTTTGCAATAGAAGAACAGTAATATTGATCTCATCTCCTTATACTATACCGGAAGAGCTCCAGTTTTCCAGTAAGCTTATAGCAGATAAGCTTTGATGTTTGATTGACCAAGCAAGAGGATCATTCTCTACCCCTTTTACATCATTTCTCATCATGACCATCCCATCTCTAACCTCCCTTTTTAGGTAAGGCAGGAAAGGGCATGTTAAGGGAACGCTGACAATAACTAGTCTTTAGCTCTCTGTGACCCAGTTCATTCCGAATTTAGGTACTAAATGGAGATTGCCTTGATCTTGTATGTTGATCATCTTTGGCTGGCGTTTATGAGAACCAGGTATCCAGGATGATTCTTTTAGCTTTGCCAGCTACCTCTGATACCATTGATAACGAGCCACTGCTGACTCCATCCCATTCCAGCCACAGGTCCAAAGAGTGGCTCATCCAGCCCAGGATTTCTCTTGTGTAGACTGATGTGGGATTCTGTCTTGTCACCCTCTTGCTCAATTTGAATGCAAGACCGTTAGGGAAAGATAGTGAGACAGGACAGACTACACTGTCTTCAGTATTCAGATAATATAGCTCCAGGTCTCTGTTTCATTAGACCCAGCTGGGAGAAGTTGACTGGCTTAGCCAGCAACTTACAGGGTGGGTTTGATGCAGGCAAGTCAGCTGTGACTCACCTCAGAGATGATTGAGTTTATGCTTGTAGGTTGGAGGAACCCCTCAGAAGAAATGGCAGTGCTAACAGCAGCACGCTCAAGTGAGTTTGTAACCTGTTGGATCCACAGCTGCTTTTGTATGCAGGAAGCAGCAGTGGCTAATAGCATTTTGTTTGTCTTTTACGCTTGGCCAGAAGGTTCTGAACTTTCAGTTCTGGTACAGATGTCAATCCAGAGAGAAATATTGGATTACTGCAAAGTACCATACATGGGACTGTACAATAAGATAACTCCCCTCACAAACTTCAGCTGGTGGAGAATATGGCAGTCTGTTTCTTAGAGGGCATTTTCTGTAGGGAGAATCTTACCTCCATGCTTTGTGATCTACATTGGCTTCCATTTCATTGTCAGGAGTGATTTAGAATAATGGCTTTAACAAATAGGGCTTAAAATAGCCAGGACTCAACCTATCTCCAAGATCACCTCTCCCGACATGGGATACTACAGCAGCTTAGATCTTCTTAAGCACTGACACAAACAGCTTTCTGGGTTTAACCACATGAGGGCTGGAGGTGAGGCATTCTTGGTGAGAGAGCTCGAAAGAAGAATTTGCTTGATTCAATTCACCAGAGGCCAAATTTACTCACCTTCGGGTTATGCTGTAAGCCCCATTTGTTCTCCCTTGCTTTTTACAGCACATGAAAATGAAGAAAAGGTGGATGATGGTGGTGAAGATAGGGTTTAGTTTTGGAAGGACATTAATCCTGCATTATTGTTATACTTTTATAACTATTATAACAACAATTAGCTCTTACATAGTACATTTCATCCATAGATCTCAAAGCACTTTAAAGAGGAGGTCAGTATTACTATCCCGATTTTACAGATGGGGAAACTGAGGAAGAGAGGTGAAGTGACTTGCCAAGTGTTACTTTGCAGGCCAGTGGCAGAACTGGGAATAGAATCCTGGTCTCCTGAGTCCTCATCCAGTGTTCTTTCAACTAGACCGCACTGTGGTGCATAAATGCCCAGAGTACAGGATGGACACTTTTTTTTAAAAAAAAAAGTTCAATTAAAAATAAATACATTAAATTGATAAAATATCAGTTTTCTTTTTGGTCACACAGATAACGGCAGCAGCTTTTCACTGCAAAGATGAATTTAAAAAGATCACTTACTTTAACATCAGGTCTAGATGGGTAACTGAAATGGATGTTTTTGAATTCAATCTCTCCTTTGAGCTTGTCTGGTCTGTATCCTTCCTTGGCACTGCTATCTACAAGATGGTGCTGGAGAGAGATTTTGAAAATGTATTACACATTTCTGTGATTTTACAGTTGTGGCTTTAGATGGATAAGTTGTTTAGAACAGTAAGAGAAACACTGCAACACTACATACCAGTTTAACCGATCAATGGTTGCAGTATTTCACCCCAGAGGATTCTGCATATCAGTGAAATGCAATCCTTGTGTATATCTTGCAAAGCATTTTTGGATAGGGGACAAGGAAAGAATAGGAGTAACTAGAATAATAAAACATCAACTATACCTTAAATCATCCACCTCCCAACATTTACAATGGGCCCAAATCCCTTAGCTCCCTCCCAGCGTCTACCTAGGCAGAATGTGAATTGAGAATCAGCTCTTGGAGGAGTGATGCAGCTTGTAATTGTTGGTTGGCTTAAAATGCACAAGCAAAAACAAACAAACTGGGGATTTATTACAAAGTCTTTACCCCTAAAAAAATATCATTCTGAGGCTCCCTGGTCTGAAGTCCAGTGGAAAATTAGCCTGGTGCTCAATAGCCTGACCTGGAATTGCTCCTCCACTTCCCAGGTTGCTGATCTCTGTTGGACTGACACTTTTCAATGACCCAGTAACTACCAGCAGAATTCAAATTTTCTCTTTGAGTAGGAATAGGAAGTTTAAAGGGGACCTCCTAGGCTCTCTCTGCTCCACTTCAAGACCAGCAAAACCAAAAGTAAAACCAAATCCTTCATCTGAGTTGTGGTTTCCGATTGGTTCTGGTAGTAGCTTCCAGCTTGTTCTGACTCTAGGCAATCTGGGAAACAGAATCTTGAGCCTCTGTAGCCATTGTTGCTGTCGTCCGGGATGAGTCCCCTAAAGACTTGCTCAGTGTAATAGGTCAGAAACAACCAACTCCAGAGGTCGTTACCCAGAGTTTTATCACCCTTATTTTAGTCCCTCTGGGCAAAATTCCGCCCTTTGTTATAACCACACAACCTCACTGAAACCAATAGGCATTTATGGCCATAACAGAGGACAAAAAACTCAGCCCTTTGTTCTAACCTAATATGAACCTGAGACTGCAGATATATAACAAACTGCTGTACAAAATTCTAAGAGAGTTAGTTACTGAAAGTATGGCATCCCTCTTCCCCAGCAACAGTATTACCATAGCTTTCACCAGCACTGTTAATCTCCAAATCAAAAGCAGTTGAACTGAAATCATGTCTACTCCATATACTTGTGTTTTAAAGAGCAATGTCATTTCACTTAGCTCTTCACCACTTCTCTAAAAAATAAATAAATGAGGGTGTGACAAACCTAACAGGAAAGGGGGCCCCAATCTGAATTTCCCCCAAGTTTGCAGTAAGCACATTTAGGACTTTGGTTAAGGCTCATGTCTCCTTAAAAGGACTAGAAAGGTCTTCTTACTTTTGTTTTCAGAGATAGGAGTCTATGGAGTTCATCCACTTTTTGAATCTTTCAAGAAATAAGTCAGAAATTTCAGACTGCTAGAAAAGCAACATTAAGTACCTTACTGATAACTTTGTACACTTCATAGGCAGCAACTCGAGCATTGGCAACACTCTCCAAGTGAGGGGAGGCCTGCCCGAGAGAGAATGCACCAAGGAGCACAGAGAAGTATATCTACAGGGAACAAAAACAGGAGCTAGTGTACAGTGGTTCCAGACCTGCAGTTTCCTTAGTGCTAAATGCCATGGTAATCCTGGTGGTTCTGTAAGAGCTTTTCCAGAAAAAAATAAAAATCAAAATCAAAACTAAGATTTCAGGCTGCATTTTTCCAGCTCCCCAGGTTTTTATTCTTATGCTGGATTTGACACAGGAAGTGGTGAATATAGCTATTGTGTGCAGCCACATGCCCTTTAACTGTTGGATTAGCTTTTTTTGTTGCTGCTGCTTTCACTAACTCCCATTAAGAGGATAAATAGGGAAATTAGACATCTCACCATCTCTTTGCAATATTAAAAACTTCAGCGTCCTCAAAGAGAGTTAATCTGGTTTCCTGAGGCCCCAATCCTGCAAAGCGCATGCTTAACATGATGCACTGTGACTAGTTCCACTGAAGTCAAGTTCTCATCAGAAGTCAAGGGGGCTACTCACAGTGCATAAAGTGAAGCACATACCCAAGTCTTTTCAGGATCAGAGCCTTATTCCTTTGGAAACGAATAATAATCTAAAAGTACAAATGAAAGATGATCACATGGCTGTGACACTGGCAGACCAGGTGCCAGCTAATGCCACAGCACCAGACCTCTGAATGCTTACAGACGCATAGCTGGAAGCCAGGACAATTTACTTGTGTATTAGTATAGATCAAAGTGATTGTTAAATATATAAGAATCTACTTGGTGTTTAAACTTCATGAAAAGTAATGGAATGTTAATGCATTGTTTTCACTAATGCATTGTTTTTACTTATCCGGATCCCGTTATACTGCTGTAGCAAACATTTACATACTGTATGCCCCTGTCAGTAAATAACCCATTAAACAAGAAAGAACCCTTGCGGAATGCACATGAAGAACTAGAACAGAAAAAAGTGTTAATTTCAAAGCAAGTGGTCATTGCATGTGATGGTCAAAGACTCCAGATGCATTCCTCACTCTCTACCATCAAAGGAAAAGCCCACATGACTAGTGACCCTGTCAGCTTGTTTTCTGTGAGAAGCTAGGAGGATGGATTCAGGGAAAAATCCTTCATCTCTGCACTGTTTGGATTTTAGCAGGGCAGAATAAATGAATGTGGAGATGGAGATTCCCTGAGTTATTCTGGGTAGGCTTGAGAGACTTTTGAGAAACTGGCAGATCACTATATCTCTGCTACCATTTAGAATTATAGACTGACTCATCTGTACACATATTTTATCTGCTTTAATCTCTCAATAACTCTTATTACCTTTGTTTGGCTAATAAACCTTTAGTTAGCCAATTCTATAGTAAACTATCAGTGTGGTCTTTGATATAAAAATCTAGGACACCAATTGATCTGCGGCAAGTGATTAGTCTGAGCAACCCGAATGTGGTGTGATTTTTATTATATAAATGACCTTTTATCACTAAGTCAAGTTTGTCTGGGTGGCAAGATAGACTGGAGAGTCTGTCTGTGACTCCATGATAAGATCGGTATAGTGATCCAGGAATTCACATTTGTTACTGGCTTGGTGAAATCTAATTATAGAACACACCACCAGTTTGGGGTGTCTGCCCTGTTTTCTGACAGCCTGCCCTGAGGTAGGCACTCATGGTTGTGAACCACTCCAGACAGCATGACAGTGACCAAATGAGATATTTGTTATGGAACTTGGAGGTCTTAAATATGTAGATTCAACATCTCTGTTGATTTATATTAAACATATTTTAACATTTAGTCTGATGGGTACTTTGTGCCCAAGTAGAAATTATGGATCTTTTTATGCAGTACTTAAACAAAACATTTTCTCTAATTTATAGACCATTTTGAAAAAGTTTGCCTCAGCTAATCAGACGATACTGTGCTGTACTTACAATTAACACACGTCCAATGTCATAATTCTCTTTCTCCTCCACTGTGAGTTTGGTTCCATACCACAATGAAAGCGCATAGGCTCCAAATAAAACAAACTCTGCGAAACCCAAAGTTGTGTTGGTAGTAATGGATTTTTTGACTCCGACTCTCCTAGCATTCTCTAGGTTAACATCATATCTGAAAACAGGTGATAAATGTTAAATTTGGTATGTACCCAGATGACATTCAGTTCCCTAGCTTCCTTTCATGCTTCCAGGGTTTTCTGCCATAAAAATCAATTATCTAGATTCTTAGATGGTGTGAATCAACACAGCTTCATTGATTTTACATCAGAGGATCTGGCCCAATAACTGTCAACAGTAAGTCTGCCTTCTGGTGTTATTTCACTGAATATGGCTGCTCTGAGTGAATTATCAGGCACACAGATAAACATGATATGTTGGGGAACAGTCAACATGGCTTTTGTAAATGGAAATTGTGCCTCACCAATCTATTAGAATTCTAAGAGAGTTTCAGCAAGTGTGTGGACAAGGGTGATCCAGTTGATATAGTGTACTTGGACTTTCAGAAAGCGTTTGACAAGGGAAACCAAACGCTCTTAAGCGAAGACATGGGATAAGAACGATAGGAAACAAAGGGCAGGAATAAATGGTCAGTTTTCACAGCGGGGAGAGGGGAATAGCAGGGTCCCCCAGGTATCTGTACGGAGACCTGTGCTGGTCACATTCATAAATGATATGAAAAAGAGGGTGAACAGTGAGGTGGCAAAAATTGCAGATGATACAAAATTATTCAAGATAGTTAAGTCCAGAGATGACTGCAAAGAACTACAAAGTCATCTCACAAAACTGGGTGACCGGGCAACAAAATGGCAGATGAAATTCAGTGTTGATAAATGCAAAGTAATGCACATTGGAAAACAATCCCAACTATACATACAAAATGATGGGGTCTAATTTAACTGCTACCACTTAAGAAAGATCTCGTAGACACCATGAACAATTATCCAAAAAATTTGCTCAGTGTGCAGCAGCTGTCAAAAAAGCTAACTGAATGTTAGGAACCATTAGTAAAGGGATAGCTAATAAGACAGAAAATATCATAATATCACTGTGTAAATCCATGGTATGCCCACACCTCAAATAATGGGTGCAGTTCTGGTGGCCCCATCTCAAATAAGATATATTAGAATTAGAAAAGGTACAGAGAAGGGCAACAAAAATCAGCAGGGGTTTGGAACAACTTCCATATGAGGAGAGATTAAAAAGACTGGACTGTTCATCTTAGAAAAGAGATGACTAAGAGAGGATGTAATAGAGGTCTAGAAAATAACGAATGAAGAGAAAGTGAATAGGAAACTGTTATTTACTACTTCATGTAACATAAGAACCAGGGGTCACCCAATGAAATTAATAGGTAGTAGGTTTAAAACGTACAAAATGAAGTACTTCTTCACATAATGCAGTCAACAACTCATTGCCAGGCCAAAAGTATAACTGCGTTCAAAAAACAAATTAGATAAGGTCATGGATAAGGTCCATCAATGGCTATTAGCCAAGCTGGTCAGGGATGGAACCCCATGCTGTGGATGTCCCTAAATGTTGGAGTGCCAGAATCTGGGACTGGATGATGGGATTGATCGCTCAAAAATTGCCCTGTTCTGTTCATTTACCCTGAAGTATCTGGCACTGGACACTGTCAGAAGACAGGATTCTGGACTAGATGGTCCACTGGTCTGACCCAATGTGGCCATTCTTATGTAAGATTGGAAAAATTGGCCTGAAATCAACAACATGAAATTCAATAAAGACAAGTGCAAAGTAGTACACTTAAGAAGGAAAAATCAAATGCACAAATACAAAATGGGGAATAATTGGCTAGCCAGTAGTACTGCAGAAAAGGATCTGGGAATTCAAATATATCACAAGTTGAATATGAACCAACAACATGATGTAGTTGTGAAAAAAGATAAATATTCTGGGGTGTACTCAGGGGAGTATCATATTTAAGACACGGGAGGCAATTGTTCCACTCTACTTGTCTCTGGTGAGGCCTCTGCCAGAGTAGAGTTTCGGTTTAGGAAAGGTGTAGACATACTAGAGAAAGTCTAGAAGAGAGCAACAAAAATGATAAAAAGTTTAGAAAACCTAAGGAAAGGTTAAAAGAACTGGGCATGTTGGTCTTGAGAATTGAAGACTAAGCGGGGACCTGGCTAACTGTCTTCAAATATGCTAAGGGTGTTACAAAGAGGATGGTGATCAGTTGTTCTCTATATCCACAGAAGACAGGACAAGAAATAATCAGGGTAATCTGCAGCAAGGGAGATTTCGGTTAGATATTATGAAAAACTGTCTAAATATTAGGATAGTTAAGTACTAGAATGTGTTACCAAGGAAGGTTGTGGAATCCCCATTATTGGAGGTTTTTAAGAACTGGTTAGACAAATACCTATCAGAGATGGCCGAGGTACACTTGACCCTTCCTCAGTGCAGGTGGCTGGAATTGATGATCTCTCAAGGTCCCTTCCAGCCCTACATTTCTAGGATTCTATGAATATCAGCTCTCAAAAGGTAAGAGTTTGTGCTCACTCAATTTTTGAAGAAAAAGTGCTTTAGATAAAACCAAACAAGTAAACAGAAGCCACAATCTCCTTTGACTCCACAACCTGGCAGTAGTTCTCTTGCTGAACGCTGTTGGAAGCCAGGAATTATTCTCATAAACTAAGTTACCAAGTTATATGCCAATAGAAAGCAATCAAATACAAATTAAGCACCATATTATGCTAGTTAAACCCTGTGATACAAGGACAAAGATTAACAGTTAGTTAATGAAAAAAAATTACTCTTTTTGCTTGCGAATCCTTTACAAAAGCTTATGGTTTTCTATCAATCACTAACAGCTTCTGTTCACTCAGAAGCTAGCTAATCTCCTTTAGTTTCTCAAGGGCATTACAGAAAGCACCACTCAGCCCAGCAGTGTTCTCAGAACCTTTCAGGAGGACATGCATATCATTTTATTGTTAAATGACATGCTCAGAAGCTTTGTAGGAACCTCTCAACACACACATTGTGTACAAAAATGCCCTGACCAAAGTGGGAAGGCCCAAAACGAATGGCACAGTTTACGCAGTAGTGAAGAGATCCTAAAATGATGTGCAATTAATTTCTTCCACATAAACTGCTCAGATATCATTGATGCTGTTCAGATTAGATCAAGAAGAGGATTATCTGCAAAGCACTAAGCACGCACTCAACTTTAAGCATGTGGGTAGCCCCCTTGAAGTCGATGACATAGGAAAGTGGTAGGCAATCTTACCTAAAGGTCATGATCCAGTAAAGCATGAGCTTAACTGTAAACACTTTAATCAATGGGTTCAGTGGGAGGTGCATATGCTTAAAGTTAAGTATTTGCAGAAGTGCTTTGTTGGCTGGAGCCTTAGATAAGATTGCATTTTCTATAGCTTCAGCTTCCAAATTCAACTTCAGGTTAGTGTCAAAGGGAAATTGGGCCTTACAATGCCCCTCCATAATGTAGATCAATTGAGTGATTGCAAATGTTCATGGGTGACAAAACATCTCCTTCCATACGCTCATATTTATCTTCATCTGAACTTCTCAGCTGTCTGGGGGATAAACTGACAGATCATCTTTGATTTTTATTTTTTTAAAATAACCACCTTAACTTTCCCCAGTATTATGTACAATCAATAATTAGTTCAAAAAACTCACTTTGCTAATGCCTTCATCTGTCCATTGAAAGCAACAACTGTTCTGATAGCAGTCAAAATTTCTTCTGCCACGGCTCCTGCTCTAGCATAAGCAGTCAGCTCTTCTGTAGTGAATGATGCCAGGAACTGGAAAATTGGGAGGGTGAGGAAAGTACATTATCGAAATCTATTTAAGTGATGTAAATTATGTACTGATACAAAGGGTGATGAAGCAGTTAGGGAAAGAGCCTAGAATTTAGGAGACGTGGGTTCAAGTCCCCACTCCAACACTCAAACCGTTTTCCTGGGCAACTTTGGGTAAGTAACTTCTCTCTGTGTTTCACTTCTCCATGTGTAAAATGGGAATCCCCTATCTTGCATGGTGTTGTGAGGCTAAACACAATGAAGATTGTGTGGCACTCAGAAACTACAGTAGTGGACGCCATGTAAATAACTTAGCTATCTTAATTATAGACCACAATCCTCTTTTTTCCTCCACCATTTTCAGTGCTTGGGTGGGGCAAAATGGGCAGAGAAAACAAAAGACAACCTATAAATGGAAACACTTGGTAAATTTTTCTGTGCATTACAAGCAGTATCTACTAATATGATCTGCATTCATCAACTGCGACCACCCTCTTCTCATGTGGTGAGTGGTAGTGACTGGAAGCAGTCCAAGCCTCCATGGCATGCCAATGCCTGCCTGCGGATGCTTAGTGTAGACAGAGCTCTGCAAATTTTGGGGCAGGAGCCAGTGAGGTAGGAGAAAGGCAGCTCTCCAAATGTTGTGGTCATGTTGCTTTGAGGTTCACTCCCTCTCAATCTGTTTTTAGAGGTAGAATTCTTATTTGCTTTTCCCCAGCACTTACGATTGATCCAACTGCTACTGATGCAGCAAGGAGAGGGCTAACTGACAAAATCACCAAAGTCAGTTTCCACCCGTAGATGAATCCTATAATAATCCCTGTCAGAAACGTGGCAAATAATTGTACAAATATACAGATCTTGTCTCCGATGCCTTCATGGATGGTGTTAATGTCACTGTTAATTAAAAAAGAGATTTGTTAACTTTGATGAGTGCCTCCTCTTCACACATTTTTCTGTTTTGCTGGAGAGAAGCTTGTCAGAAGTTTAACTGTTCAAATCATTGGGTAGTAGAAATTTTGGACATGGGTACTGAACAGCAGTAATGGCTCTTTGTGGGTCTAGGAACTAGCAGATCACAACTCATTTTCTGTGATGTAACCTCTAGATAGACTTCTTTCACACATGACTCAATTCATTTATGCAATATCCAAAAGGAATAATCCATGCAAAAACAAAAAAATTCACCCCCAAAACCTTTTCATTACTTTTTCTTCCAAGTTCCCCTATGTATCCTATCGTCTTCAATTTTGTTATTAGATTTTAAGATCTTTGAAGCAAGGAACACCTCCATTTTGCATCCTATACAGTGACAAGCACAGTGTTAGTAAATTATTATTTGGAAAACCATTGTGTGTCACACTAATTTTCCTTTGCTATTTACATATGTGGGAGCTAGGATTGGTGAAATCAAGCCTCTCTCATTCCCTTCAGGACTCACATCTTCCAAAAAACTGGGCATATCCCTCTCTGCAAAAATTAAATCTGGAGAAACTCTGCATACCCGGATCACACCTTCCTCTGAATCCCTGCACAAGGGACCTGATCCAAAGATTCCTAATTATTTTAATTGGTTTTGGATCAGGTTCAAAATGATAACATAGTTATGGGCACTATGAGTGCAGTTTCATTTCATACAATGTCAGGGTTTTCTGTGTTTGTACACTAGCTGGAAACAGCAGAGCTGTTTATCTACAGTAGTTTGCAAAATAGCTCAGACACTACAAAGACAATGTCAGATGAGTAAGATATTGTATTTCACAGCATAAGCCCTCACAATGGAAATGTCACTGAAAACCTGAAAATGAAGTGAAAAATGATAACGAATTCCTCCCTCAAATAGCAGTAGTATTTTGGGTCATAGTTAAAAAGGTTTCCTGGAAATTCCCTGTAGCTAATTCTATAAAGATAAACATCAGTCATCTTTTTGGCTCATGTTTCTAGTGCATAGATAAATAGAGCCTTCTCACTCTGTCAGTCGTGTGTTCAACATTCCCATCTGGCTGGCATCAAACCAAGCCATCTCCTGGTGAAGTATTGCGAAAAAAAACTTTTGTCGGATTCTTGCTGTCTGTCTTGCAGCTGAGGTAAAAAATGTCCAGACTTGGATGGTGCTCAGTATTATTACAGCGAAGCCAATACCCACATAGTAGTAGGCAAACCTGTAGTAAAACAGTAAAAGTCCATAAGGTCAATTGCATCCTGCAAGAGAAGACAGACACATCAGGTCACGTTTAACCCTGCTGAAGCCAATGGGATGTCATTGAGGGCCAAATTTGGCTTACGGTCTAATGGACCAAACAAATAGAAACTACACTGTGCTATTCTTATGAAAATAATTGCAGAGGTTCTTACCTTATCATTTCAGCTTCTATATCTAAACCTGGAACTGCTGAACAAGTAGAGCTACTATTCATCACAGCTGAAAGATTAACTGTAACAAAGAAAAATACTCAGTTTTATTAGAACAGGCATAAAACAAATCATGGCAGTTTTAGGTCATAATCTTATGTGCATTTTGCATGACACTACACTCCCTGCAACAGCTCTGTCGATTTATAACCTTCATGGTAGCCATCATCCTTCCAGTGGAGGATCAAACAGGGCAGACTTTTGAGTCAGCTCAGAGAGTTACTGTAGAGTGATGTCATGGATTTAACTCACTACGTCAATGGGCACTAGTCAGATCATAGCTTCATCTGATCTGACCTTCTGATTCCAACAGTGGCCAATATCTGATTTTTCAGAAGTTGATAACGCCCCCTTCTACCTCACATAAGGCAAAATTCATCCATGCAGACACCATAAGTCTGACTTTTATGCACCACTTAGGTTCCACCCAAGCCTCAAAACTGGGCCCAAGTGGGGTCCAAGTGGTGGCTCAGCCTTTTGCTGGCTGTCTGCAAAAGGGTAAATTTCACTAATAATGCACCTAACCAAATGTGCAAAACTGTTCAGACCTGGGAGAAATAGGAGACCCCTTCCAGGTGTTAGCACATATACTTTAAGGTAAGTTATGATTGCCCTTATCTTAAGCTTAGCTCATATAGAGGCAAAATAGTGTTAACGATCCTATTTTGTTGTTTTAAAAATCCAGTCACAGAACTTTATTTGGTGACCTCCTGGGACAGTGAATTCCATGGATGAACTATAGAAAGTAGTAAATCATTTTACAGTTACCAAATGTACTGCTCTGTAATTTATCAAGTGTCTATTTTGTATTGTACTATACAGCAGGGTAAAAAGGAAGGACTGCTCAGAATTCACTATGCTCTTCATGGCTTTTAACACCACAGCAGCACTCCATTCTGAACCTCTGCCAATCCAGTAAATAAGAGACCCTAACAAATATTTTCAGAAGTTGAACAAACTTTACCTGAAGACATATTTACTGCTTGGCCAATCGTCACAAAGCGGTTTGTCATACCTCCAAAGAGAACGAATAGAAGTGGCATCCCTGTTCCATTTGCAACAGCTGCAATTAAGCCTATCATCATCAAAATGATATCCAGCCAATCGGCATACCCAAACTACATGAGTATAAAGAAAAAGGAATTAATTGAAGGTTGACAAAGTCACATAATTGTGACAATATCCTACTAAGGCACACAGAATAGGATTTGTTTTTAACATAGAACTGCTCGCAATTTGGGTATCCCAAAACACTTTATGAAGTGATGAATTAGATACTGTGAAGGCAAACACAACACTTGGGATGCACTTTGAAAAAGCGTACACACAGTTTTAGGCCAGTTTTTACTGAGGGAGTTAGGACATGTTGGCAGAATGACAGGATGAATCCCCTAATCTGCAGAAAAAATAACGTTATCTTACATTTTTTCATAAAGTGGTAACATCACCTGTGCAACTCACTGCCTCCCTGTGTGCAGTCTACTACCTCACATATTTATTCAGCGCATTTAAAATGTAAACAAGAACAGGTAGTTGACAAACATTTGGCTGCTGCCTACCAATAGAAACGGGTATGTAGCAGTTACCACATTTAAGAAAAACACAGCACTTGTTTCCCTGGATAATTCATGAGACATTGTGCACGAATGGTAAAATTATCTCCAGCTGAGAGAGCCAGGGAAAGGCCCTACTTACCACATATGGTTCACTTCAGTCCTTAACAAGGGTGAATTTCACTCCGTCCTGTTGCTGAAACATTGTCAAGCACTGGCAGTTATGCACAACAGGCCATATTTTTAAAGAGGGAAGCCTGAGATCAATGCTCAAAAATGGCTGTGCGGCAATACTAAATTTGGCTCAGACCTGTTTCTTCGCTTTTGAAATGCAGTATTGTGGTTGTAAATTGGTCTGCTACCATAATGTACAACAGGCAAAGAAAAGGAACAATGTGAAATATAAATCAAGCCAATAAACTATGCACTAACCAATTTCAAAATGCCAACCATCTTTTCCTTTGACGTCTCATTTTTCTTTCTAAAGAGATTAATGCAAAATTAATCCAGGCCCTTTCTTGAAAGGCAGGGCAAGAAATGCAACAGCGTATTAAGATCAAGGAACCCCTACTTTTTCTCGTTCCTTAACTCGTCATTTTGCTCAGGTTTTTCATCATGTTGGAAAGCAGGATTGTCATAGCCATTACTTGCAGATTCTGTGGAGGGGAAAGTAGGTTTTGCTTTCACAAATAGTAAGGTCTTTTAAGCCAGCTTCTTATGAAGCACAGTAAATCCCTTTCTGAATTATCGGAGCACCAAAACAGTTGATTTTTAAAAAAAAAAAAAAAAAAGCAGGAAAACCACATTTTTCTCATGCTCTTGAAACAGCTCAGTAACTTTCAATGTTTTCCTCCCCAAAGATCACATCCAAGCTGAGAACAAACATCATTTTCAGCCCCAAAAGCTAATTTTAAGCGAAGTCAGTAAAGACTAACTTGGGCCTCAGTCTTGCAAAAACTGAGTGTATGCCTAAGTGTATGTCTACACTAGGAGTGCTACAGTGGCACAGCTGCAGCTATGCTGCTGTAGCTTATACACTTACTACAGTGATGGAAGGGATTAGTGAAACCACCTGTTAGGTTGATGGAAGAGTTCTTCTATCAACCTAATGGTGTCTACACTGGGGATTAGGTCGGCTTACCGATGTCTCGCAAGGGCATGAATTTTTCACACCTCTGAGAAATGCATCAAGGTGGACCTAATTTTCAGGCCTTTGTAGGATTGGGGCCTTAAAGTGCAACAGGCATACTTATTATTTGTTGGTATTTCAGTAGTATCTACAGGCCTCAACCCTATTGTGCTATGGCTGTACAAACACAAGCAAGAGGAATCTCCGCCCAAAAGAGTTTATAATCAAAGAATAAGATGAGAAGTAACACGTGGATGAAAGAAACGGACAGAGGAATCACAATGGAATAGTGAGGTGACTGTGAACTACAGGATAAAAGATTGTCACAACACACCAGCTGTCTATTCTATCTCAACCTGAGCTATAACTACTGTGTTTTCCATCACTAGTTTTTAGAACAATTTTGTAGAGACTTACAGGACACTATTATGTTTGTTTTGATTATAGAACAATTCAAATGCAGTTAACTGACTCCTGACTCACATAATGGAGCATTTGCACACTTAGGCCCCATTGCTGATGCATGTAAATAACTTTAGGCATGTGAGCAGTCACATTGAAACTCAATGGGACTACTCGTGCATAAATGCTCGCAGGATGGGAGCCTTAGTTATTTTTAAACTAGAGTGTCTCACGCGGCACACCAGGGTCATTGAAGTTGGTAGAAGGCCACACAGAGCTACGCCCAGCTAGTGCTATGATTAAGTTAAGAGAATACATGTATTCAGTGCTAGCTAAGAATTTTTTCTGAATGCTGTTTCCTCCACATAGATCCCCAGGAAGGGTCCATTCTTGCTGGGTAAAGACACCACAGTAGGAAGCTTAATAGCCAGAGAAGCATGAGTTGTGGAGGATGATGGGAGGGCTGATCTGTTTTTCCATAGAAATCCCTTATGGCTACCAGGCAGGATTCAAAATGTGGCTTTAATTTCGTGGCAATGGAGTACATCTTTCCAACAACTAGCCTAACATTAAAAAGAAGAAACAACTAACGGAAAAACTTACTAGGATTAGGTGGTTCCTTTTCTGTGTGATTTATGAAATCATCCTTCATTGTGTTATTCCGCTGTATGGTTATTATACTTGCAGAAGTAAATCACTTTGGGTAAAATCTGCATACACAAGAGAATAGCACAACCTTTCAGAGACAATAGCCATTCAAAGAGTTCACATCAAGATATTTTTATGTTTCTTTATTAATTATTTGTTTCCTTTCAACAACTTTTCTTGGAAAAAATATTGATCATTACATGCTACTTTTACATCAGGGTAAGTTATTTTTCTAAAGAGCTATGTTCATTTTTAAAAATTAGAACAACAATGTGGCCTGCTTCCTGGGGGTACCCAGGGCTGTAGCCACCTGCCCTTAGCATGAGAAAGCCTTGTCTGTGCCTGATGGGGGTCAGCCCCCCAATTCTAGTGGCCACAGGCAACACAAGTACTCCCCTCAAGGCCTGTGCAGGCCCTGCTGTCTCTTTACAGGTTAGCGATAGGTAGGGTGACCATATTTCCTGATGCTGAATATGGGACACCTGGTAAAATTACTCGTATTCAAGCGAGTTCAATGGCAATCGGAACTATGCAGTACAAACATTCAAATTAATATCAAGTTGACTGAGCCCCTGTTAACAAGAAATACTGCATAGCTGGATTCTTTTTAGTTACCTTCTTATCCTTAAGGCTTTAGGTGTCACACATACACCCCTAGCGCCCCCCCCCCCATGTTATGCTTATAAAAAGTACACAAGATTTTTTTCTATAGGGGAAAAGGCAATACGCCACATTTACTGAGAATATAGCCGTTAGCATATGCTTTTTAATTACACACATACACACACACACACACACACACCCCATGCACACAGTCCCGCCAGCAGATGTTATAGTTACCCGTTTAGAGTCTGGATTGATTTAGTTGCCAGCCAGACTGGTTGTAGAGGGGAGCCGGGCTCTGTTGGTCATGATCCGAGGCTTTTGGAGTTGTTGGCAAGACAAACCCAAAGTCCCATTGCAAAGCACTCTGTTTTTATAGTTTTTTGTTGTTGTTGAAGTTTATGGATTTTGCTCTGTCATTTTACGACCAGTTACTTCTCAGCTGGTGTTATTTTTTGATGGCTTTTTTTTTTATGTTAGCATTCCAAAACACCTCTGGGGATGGGGTCATTCTGTCCTGTTTCAATTTAATTAATTATTTTGTGTTTAAGGGTGCCAGCCTCCACTTCAGAGTCGTCAATTTGCCCTTCCTTAATTTTTTTCCCCCCTTGACTATCTGGCTCTAACATTGGCTTTCACACCTTATCTTTTTCTGAAGCATTTATTTCCTATTCACACACTCATTCCTCCATGCCAGGCTTGGCCCCCGAGATGGACCTGCCTCTGCTGGTACCTGGCGCTGTGTCTTTCCGAGGCAACATGCAGCGGGGCATGCAGAGTCACATGCCTCCTTCCCCAGATTTCTGCCAGAGTTCACACCAGAATGTGGCCAGCAGCAGCCTTTCATCACTTTGCAGGAGGGAAGGGATGGGAGCTGCTTCCAGCTGTGGGGTGGAGGGCAGGGGGAAGGGATGATCTGGCTTGTGTCTTTGCAGAGATCATCTCTTTTCCCACCCCACCCTCCGTGTGAATAGAAACAGCTTGTCCCTTCCTGCCAACACAGTGTCAAAAAGGCAGCTAACACCTCCAAGCTGCTGCTAGCCATCAACATAACCCAGCCACCCCTGGCTACAATGCGGGCAGGAACAGATTAAGCCAGAAGGATGAATTGTGCACGAGGCCCAGGGAACCTGACTATAAGGGCTTAAGTGAACCTGGCCAGAGAAGTGGCTCAGCACAGGAAAGTGCCTAGGGGACAGAGCAGCCAGGATAGTGGGGGGGGGGGGGGGGTTTCAGGTGAAGAGGGTGCTAAGACCCTTCCCTGGGGGCTGATGTGGAGCCTGCAGGTTTGGGGCATGAACAGGCTGGAAATCGCTTCCCCTGACTCCAGAGCTTAGCTGAGGGGCAGAGAGGCTTCCCCATGCCAGCATTGTGCAGGGCTTTGGCACATACAGGGATTGGCTCCTCCTGGCCAGCGCCTCAAGCCAAAGGGTCTTGGGCTTTCCCAGGGTGCCAGCCCAGCCAGAGGCAGTGGGGAAAGGAAGGAGCCTGCCAGCCTGGCTGTTGGTGAGCTAAGCACTCCGACCAGGGGCTGGTTCTCCACAAATACTGGGAGTGGGATGTTCCCAGCCCGGGCATATGGAGGAGCAGCGGGGCTTGGGGTGGGGGCAAAGCAGGGAGGGGCCAGCAAGGGGGGGAGCACATAAAGGGCACATCATGGGTGGACAGCAGAAAGCCAGCCCCCCTTACCCCTATCCACCCCTACCCCCCAAAGCTGAGGCCAGGACCCTGGGCATGCGAGGCCAGCAGCCGGGACCCTGGGCACGCGAGGCCAGCAGCCCTAGTTCTTGCGCCAATGTGCCAGTACTGATGGGGGAGGGAGATGGCAAATTGTCCAGTATTTTCTCATTTTTAAAGAAAAAGTTGGGCCACCTGCGGGAAGGCTTAAATATGCAACTGTTCCTTTAAAAACGGGACATCTGGTCACCCTAGCAATAGGCACATTCCAACCCCTGAGGCCTCCGAGCATCTCCCTGGAGTGTGAAGCCCCTGCTCCACTGCAAACTCACAGCATTTACAGATTTGCTGTTTGGAAAGGAACAGTACACCCCAGCTTACCAGTTCCAGCTTGGATCACCTCTTTGCTGAACACACAGCACTTTGATACGTTTCAGTGAAAACGAGCAAAAGTTTATTTAACGAAAGAATAGATGTAACCCCCCGCCCCCTTTTCAGTGCTGGCTTAATACCTGAATGCAGTGCAAACAGGAGAGGGGTATCTCACAGTTTTTGGACAGTTCCAAAGTTTCGGTCACCCTGGGCTCATTTTGCGGTGCTGCTGGTAGGTGCCTGCCTGCCTGCCCTCCTGTATGCTAAAGGATTAAGCTACTTGGCCGTGCTTCCAGTGAGATAAGGGATAACCACACTAAGACTGTGGCTACAGCACTTGAACTCATGAATAATTCAAACTCACACAAGCACACACATTAAAAACAAGAACTATAAACTTTATGTAAGGACTTGACCAAAGAGAAATAGGCAATCAGTGAAAATATTAAATGATTAGAAATCAACAATGCTTTGTAATTACTAAAGGCTCTGCCAAGAGGCACGCTAGGTCACGTGACCACACACACTCTCCATGTTCCTAAACAAAAAAGTGTCTCTTCCCACACCCACTCCCAGTTCAATCTGTCCCCCACTTCTCAGGTGGTGCATGTGGAGACATGCTGCAGGTCTGTAAGGAGATGCTGTTAGAAACACACTTTATTATACTGAGAATTGGCAGGGCAGGTCTTGATGATTCAGGTAGATGAAAATCCTTTTGCAGATGCAATGGGCCTTCATGGTGCAAAATTACAACCTAACTGCCCATATAACTCTAATACAGGATACTGCCTCAGGTTCCATTTCTGGCTGAGGGGTCAGGAGACTGATTCCGGCAAGTGGGTCCTGCCTAGGGATCACTGGAAATGGACTAACCAACCACTCTCTTCTGAAACAGTACTGACAGTCTTTAAAGTTTCAAACCCATGGGCTGAGTTGGAAGCCGGTGAGGACTCTGGATCCAAAATCCCGGATCTGGTATGGGCTGGCTGCAGGGCAGGCAGGCTGGAGGCAGTGAATGGCAGGAGAGATAGGCTGTCTCCTCCAGTTGCTGGCAGGTGGTGACAGGAGGATTGTCCTAACCTAGGGCTTTTTTGCAGGCTGGGGTTACAAGATAGACCGGTTGTGGGCCTGGAAGTGCTGTGCTGGCAAACTGCAGGCAGACCTGCTCTCCCCTCTGCTTCCCAACTGGTCTCTCTCACCTGGAGGGAAAGCTGAGCTATTCATAGCCTTCCTCCTGCTTTCCCAGGCCTCTCCACAGGGTCAGCGACTACTTGCAGTTTGCCTAGCTGTCTCCCGGCCTCTGAGAACTGCTGTTGTCTCCACCTCCAATTGGTTGAAAAAGGAGGGTTGCCAGGGTAAGAATTGCATCCTACTCCCCTTCCCTCCTGCTGCTGGGGAAGTCAACAGTGCAGGACTCTGTTGCGGACCTCACAGGGGCCCAAAAGGTATGTCTCTTCCTTTGGGATAGAGCCCCCTTGCTAAGGGGGGAGGGAGTGGCACTACATAGTCAAGTGGTAACCAGCAGAACTATTGGAAACAAATACTTACATATAAAATAAACCCTAACACACATTCTAGAAACCAGACTTAATTAACTAAATACTCTCATGTCTAATAAATGATTGCTCCCCAGTGCTTTCCTTCCAGGCATGAACCCTTTTCCATGAGAGAAGACATGCTGTCAGCTTGTCTCCTAGGTGAAGATGCTGCGTGTCCATCTGCACTCCCAGATATTCCCCCACAATCCATTGTCTGGACACATAAACAGGATCCCTTGCCGCTGTTTATGTCTTCCTGAAAATCTGGTAGATTTTGCATTCTTTCAAGTGGTATCAGGCTCAGTGTGCAAACAGGCATCCACGGGAGACACAAATGGCCAATACACACATGACCAGACAGAGGAATTATGTCTGAAACCTCCTGCTTAAAAGGAACCTATGTAAGACATGATGTCTTGGTTACCTGTCTTAACTCCAAAGCTTTGAGATCATAGTTTCCAATACAGATACATAACTATTATCCACCCATACATTGCAAAATGATTAGCTAGTAGACTACTGGCTCTTGATAGAGATCTTACAGGCAACCATTTAGTAACTTAATATGCATATATCTGACCACTGCAAAACCCTGTGCATCCCCTGTGCCCTATGTCAGTTGGCAGCAAGGGGTTCCTTGGTCACACTCAGCTAACCACTTTCATAGATTTTAAATGCCAAAAGAGACCATTAGATCATCTAATCTGATCTCCTGTATAAAACAGGCCATAAAATGTCACCCTGTTACCTCTGTATTGAGCCCACTAACTTGCGTTTGACTAAAGTATTTTTTTCCATTTATATCATGATCATGGTAACTGTGCAAAGATCCAATAATACT